GAAAATATTTCAAATGAGTTGTTCGAAATAAATAACTGTTGAGGGAGAATGGATTTGGGGGGGAATAAAAGTGGAAGTGGGGAGATTGTTGAGGACACAGCTGCATTAGTGCAGTGAGAAATGTTGATAGTCCAAATTAGAGTGGTGGTAGTGAAGATGGAGAGAGGTAGAATCAGTGTAGACTTGGGGGAAGAAGTGATATGGCATAGTGATGTATTGGAGGTGGAAGGTAGAGAAAAGGAAGGAATCAGTAATGACAGCTGGGATTTGATTTTGTACAGCTGGATATATGACTTTAGTTCTACTGTGCTAGGAAAGACTGAGAAAGAGGTTTGGAGTATGTGTGGGATGAAAAAGAATTCTGTCTTGCCCCTGTGTATTAGATTTGAGGCATCTCATCTAGGACACATTTCAGTGGAATTGTCACGTAGGCAGTTGGATATATGTTTGGTGTAAAAGAGAGATCTGGGATACAGAAATACTAAGGGGAGTTGTTAAAGAAGTCCATGGTATTTTAGCCATGAAAATGGATATGATCCCCTAGGAAGCAACTGTAAGAAGAGTAGAGAGGCAAGCTTTGGGTCTTGAGAAATACCAATATAAGAAGCCAAACAGGACAAAATAAAGCAACAAATGAGATTGAGAAAGTTACCGGGAAACTGATAGGCATAAAAAACCATGAGAAAAAAAGAGGGAAGGAATAGCTGAGTTGAATGCAGCCCATAGATCTGGCGAGCTGATGCTAAACTTCCCATGGGAACATGAAGCATACTAATGGCAAGGAGAGCAGTTTCTGATGTGGTATGGCAAAATATACCAAAAATAAAGTTTTAAAAACCCCAAGAAACAGATTGGGAGAAAAATACTGTTCATACACACATGTCACACACAGGCATGCACAAAGAACACTGTGCATAAAATAGAAAGCACTATTATAATTCAGAAAGAAGAGACAACATAATAGTATGGATGGGCAAAGTATATACTATATTAATTTTTATTTTTTAAAATTCCAATTTAAATAATGTACAGTGTTATATTAGTTTCAGGTATACAATATAGTGATTCACCAATTCTGAACATTACTCAGTGCTCATGGTAAGTGTACTCTTCATTCTCTTGACCTCTTTCACCCATCTCCCACCCACTACCCCTCTGGTAACCACCTGTTCTCTGTAGTTAAGAGTCTTTTTTTATTTGTCTCTTTTTTCTTTGTTCATTTGTTTCTTAAATTCCACATATGAGTGAAAACATATGGTCTTTGTCTTAGGATATGATAAATTCTTAGCAGAAGAAATATGATGCTCAGTCTCTTAAAATTGTCAATAAGCAAGATACCATATTTTTCTCTCGAGGTTGTAAAATAATCACTTCATAACATACAGAGCATGCAAGGCTACTGCCATATTCTGTTGGTATGTAAAGACGTTTTCAAAGGATTTAGTAGTAACTATCAAAATAAAATTGCTTTTATATGTTTTCCATTAATTTTACTTCTAAAAATAAGTCATGCAGAAACACATATGTATGCAAGGTTATCTCTTACTCATCAAATCAAAAACACTACTGATTGAAATATGTATCCCAATTTTAGAGACATTCAGATATGAAAATAAGTATACCCCACACTTAATGAAATACAGTATTATAAAGATATTCATTGTAGCATTGTTTAAAAAGTTGAAATTGATGGATAATACTGAATTTAAGCTGCCATTAAGAGACCAAAGATCTAATGTACTGATATGGAAACATGGTCACTATTGTTAAGTGATAAAGTAAATCTTCAAAGGAATATTTTTATTATGATTCTATTTCTACGGGAAAAATTAATATATCTATGTAAATGTAGCTTTACTTAAAAAAATACTGGTAGGATACATGCCAAACAGCGGCAACCTCTTGGGAATGAGATTAGTGTGGAGGTGAAAGATAGCTTTTCCTTTATACGTACATGTATTTTTCTTTTTCCTTTTTTTTTAACAAATAATCACATTATTTTTGCAAAACCATAAATCTCCTCATATTTTTGCCTGAAAATTTCATGTGGATGAAGTTATCTTCTTGGGAATGAGGTAGCAAAAGGGTAACATCTACCTTAGCATTTTGGGGTTAAATTATTTCATGGTCAGCAACAAGGCTTGTAAAACTTTAGGTTTTGTTTCCAAGTCTAGATCTGAATAAAATCAAGTAGATTATAATAGTGGGATTATAAAAGTGGGAACTGGGTGATAGGGAATGCTGTGGTGATGAAGTAGACAAGCAGGAATATCGTTTTAAGGCAGAAATATAGAATTAGGAGAATGTATGGACATTTTGTACAGAATTCAACATTGTAGAATTTTCATCCTGAAATTCAAGAAATAGAATCCATGAGGGGGGAAATGGGACTTTTTGCATGGATTTGTCTGTCAGAGTTCTTACGTCCTTGAGGCCTACAGAAGAAGTACACAGCAAAGACAGCTGCAGTCATGTACTTGGCAGCTCCTGCTAACACTGAGAGTGGTGGATCAACAGATTGGCACAGGCTGACGCAGCTGCCTCAGTATTCACATTAGTAATGGGGATGAGGAATTAGAAAAGAATGTTTAAAACATATGTACAGAACAAACATAATTTTAGGAAGCACTATTGCTGTGACAAATCTCCAGTATAAATAACTATATGCCATCTTAATATGTGCTGAATACTAACATTTTCATTAGTAGGGAAGACTATACTATTATAATAAAAATTAAAGATAATCTTTAATAAAAATTAAAGATAATCTTTTATAAGGTTATTTAAACTCTAAATTTCCATTATTCTACACAGGTTGAAATCCCCCTACTAGCTGCCTTTCTCTTCCACCACCTTGGGAATTTAGGCATTGCAGAAGTGAGAAATAAAATGCTGTGCTAATTCTACTACCTATAGAAGATATTTCTAAGAATGGTGTATATGTGAGTAAGTACAGTGTTGTTTACAGTCAATGATGTTTACCATACTGTGCTGCATTTAATATATTCCATAAGGCACACATATAAAAATTCTTTCTAAAAATGATAGTTGTATATATAGGTAAGCACAGTATTTCAGTGAAGGAATGTGTTCGTTACACTTTGATGCATGAATATACTATGTATGGTCAAATGCATAAAAGTTGTTTCTAAGAATAATGAAATTTTATTGCATCTGAGTAATGTCATTCAGTGAAATAATACATGCCACATATGCTGCATTTAATACATCTGTAAAGTATGCCATGCGTATAAAATGTTTCTAAAGAGAGAAGATAAAAGGTAAATGCTTTTAAAAATACAAAAAGCTAATTCTAGTCTTTTAGACTGGAGAAATAGTCCATATTTAAATATATGGAAAACCATGTAAACACGAGGAAACAAAACTATAAGATTTCAAAAATATAGTAATAAACCAATGGTAAAAAGACACTTTCAGGACAACTGAAGAAATATAAACACGAAATGGTTATTAAATGATATTCAAGAATTTTGACATTGTTAATTTTGATAGATGTGATAATTATACTGTATTTGTTAGAAAACATTGAATGTTAGGGGCGCCTGGGTGGCTCAGTGGGTTAAAGCCTCTGCCTTCGGCTCAGGTAACATCCGGCCCACATTGGGCTCTCTGCTCTGCAGGGAGCCTGCTTCCTCCTCTTTCTCTCTCTGCCTGCCTCTCTGCCTACTTGTGATCTCTGTCAAATAAATAAATAAAATCTTAAAAAAAAAAAAAAGAAAACATTGAATGTTAAACATTAGTGATGCATGGTCAAGTAGTTAGGGATGAAATGTCATGATGTTTGAGATTTTAAAACGCTTCAACAAAAAATATAAAGTGAATGTGGCAAAATATGTTAAATCAAGATAATGAGTATGTGGGCATTCATTATACCCTGCTCTATTCTTTTTTCCTGCCTGTCGCCCCCCCCCTTACTTTTTTATATTTAAACTTTTTATAATAAAAAGTGTAACAACATAATGGTAAAATAAAATTCAAAAGAGCAAAAAGGGCGACAGTTACTTATTGGATAAGCAAAATTAACTTAAGCTCCTGATGCCGTAGTAGAGGTATTTCAGCCAAGAACATCTCTCATTGCAGACAGCATAGTTTGTAGTAGATCTCCATCCTGGTTTAGGTCCTGCTGATTTTAATCGCTTCACCTTAGCCTCAGTTTTTTTAATCTGGAAAATGAAAGGATTAGATTAGTTGTTTTATTCTTTCCATTTCTGAGATGCTGTTGAAGCAGAGGCTGTAAACTCAAATGTCTACCAGTGCCAAGCTGGTAATTCAAATTACTGAATTGGTGAAGTGCTTGCCAGTCTAATGGGGGCGCCCCTTCAGCGGAATAATGCCTTCATGATAATGCGGGCTCTGTTTCCTTTTTCGAGATTAGGAAGAAATGAAGGGGCACCTGGGTGGCTCAGTCGTTAAGCGTTTGCCTTCAGCTCAGGTCATGATCCTGGGGTACTAGGATCTAGTCCCACATCCACTCCCTGCTTGACAGGGAGTCCGCTTCTCCTGCTGACCTCTCTCCTCACATGCTCTCACTCTCTCATTCTCTCTCTCAAATAATAAAGGAGGGAAAAAAAAGAAGAAGAAGTCCGGTTTATTGTTTTCCTTAGCTCTCCTCTACTTGCGATCCGGCAGTTGCGTAGCGCAACGCCATTCCCGTACCCTGTGTAGCCTAGAGACTGCAGGCGCCACCGACTTTACACCCTCCGGGAGTGCCTGGGGAGAGGACCCCAGGCCGCAGTTGGAAGGAGAGTTATGTTGGCGCCTGGCAACCCCAGCGAACCTCTGGAGTAAGGTGCTTCGCTTCCCTGGGAGCTCAAAAAGAAAAAGCGGCTCAAGATCCAGGGACCCAGCTCTCCACCGGAAGTTTTGCCTTGCGAGCACTTCCTGTTTGGTAACTAAGGGCGCGGGACGGTTGCTAGGGCTGCCGCGGTGATTACCTGGGAGCTTTGCTGGTGTCGGGGACCGCCTGGCGTGCTGCTCCTCGGCTGTACGGGAAGACGGATCTTTCTTCCACAGCCTGTCGGAGGTCCCCTTTCGGCTTGCCACCATGAGTAGCGAATTCTTGGCGGAGCTGCACTGGGACGATGGGTTTGCTATCCCGGTGGCAAATGAGGAGAACAAGATACTGGAAGATCAAGTAAGGATCAGGTGAAGAAGGCGGAATAAAAGGGGGAAGTTTTCTGGTTGGCAGGAATACCCCAACTCTTTTATTCCTCCCATCTTCTTCCCCAGTTTCATCTTTTCACTGCCTAACTCTCAGCCGCATCATCTTTCTCTCTCACCTGCCCGCCCTTTTCGGAACTTGCTAAGCTTACAAAATGTAAATTGATAGAATAATTGATATTCAGGACTATAAAGCCTAAGTCGTTACTCTCCCCTCTCCTGCTCCGTGTACGCACTTCCTGCCTCCTGGGCAGGAGAGGAAAGGCTGGTCCCCAAGTCCACTTTTTCCTTCCTCAGAATTAAGCACGCCTTGCAAAGGGACTTCTGAGGTTTTTGCAGCAACAGTTTGTTGACGGATGTTTATAAACAAAACACGTTCTGGTTGACATTTCTTTTTGAATTTCTGCCTATGACATTGGATGTTGAAAGTGACTCGGAGAAATGTTTTCAAGAGGAGCGTCTAGTAAGAATGTAAAATGTACAATTTGCAGCTTTTCAAACTGAGAATGTTGTCACAGAGTGATATAAAATATTTTACGTTGTAAGGAATATTTTATGCCAGCTTGCAACCAATGCATAATAGTTGTTAAAAATAAATTGCATCCAGGGACACCTGGGGGGCTCAGTCAATTAAGCATCTGCCTTCAGCCCAGGTCATGACCTCCCCCCCAGCCCCCGCCCCCCCCTCCCGGTCCTGGGATTTTGTCCCCCATGGGGCTCCTTGCTCAAGTGCTCATCGGGGAGCCTGCTTCTCCCTCTACCTGCCACTCCCCCTGCTTGTGTGTTCTCTCTCCCCCTCTCTCTCTGGCAAATAAATAAATAAAATCTTTTTAAAAAAAAATTGCAGCCAGCTCAGAAAACTTAAAAACCTTTAACAGTCAGCCTAAAGTTCCATCACATGGCAATGTGTTGTGTAGAAGAGGGTCCAAGAAGAACAGATGATGTTTATGTTAGTTTATAGAATGGAAGAGGTTTTTTTTTTTCCTCTGAAAATTCACTGTTTTTTAAGATTTTTTTTTTCAAAATATTCTGACTTTTTTACTCATGTCTAACTTAGTTGGCTGCAGTTTTTTGTTTGTTTTAATGAAGAACAACATTAGGGAATATAACAGATTTAGCACTGAGTACTGAAGAGTAATAATGTAAGAAGTATCCAGCCATGGGTTCAGATCTTAATTACTAGCCTGTTCAGATCTTAATTACTAGCCTTAATTACTAGCCTGTTTCTTCTTCTGTAAACTGGAAATAAATGTTTCACGGGATTGTAATACAGTTCTAAGGACATTAATGTACATTAAACTTTCAGATATTAGTTTTTGGTATTATTACCATAATATTTGTCTCATATGATTTTATATACACAGTAATTATATTAGCTATTTTAAAAATATCACAGAGAAATAGAAGAAGAGGGAGGGTCATAATTGCTTCACCTGAATAAACAACGGCATTAAAAAAGCAACTCTGGTAAGTTTAAGCCATTCACGTATAACAGAAGTGTATAAAATAAAAAATGGAGTATTCCCTCTTTAAAATACCTACTGTTGACTATAGAAGTGTGACTATTAAGACATTAAACAAATATTCTAGATATCGTGGTCTATAGATACATGGATTGAAAAGACAAACAGAAATATTATAAGAATGGAATCCTACTATGTGTACTGTTTTTAACATAACAATTTTTATTTAATAAAAATATTAATTTAATTTTACTTGTTTTAAGAGACAAAAATAAAGGGATTGTTGAATTTTAGGTATATATTACTTGATTACAACAAATAGTAATTGGTAAAAAATTTTCTTAACATTAGGAAAAGCTATATAAGGAAATAAATGAAACAGTTAAATTACTGTTTGAAAAAATGCTTTGCTTCATTTGTTGACAGTAAAGGTTGACTCCCTGATTTTCATTTCTCATTTTTATTATGAGAATTTTATGAGAAATTTACCATTTCATTTCATTTCTCATTTTTAAAACAAAGAAATTAGCTCTCACACTTCTTTCCATGATCTTTTACCCCATTAAAAAATAGCTGTTTTATTATTTTTATATTATCAAGGTTTATTTTTTCATTCTGCTCAATGTCCTTAATTTACTACAAGTGTTTAGTCTTAGTGTAATATGTAAACTGATTTGATGATCCTTAATGCAGCCAGTTTTATTCAGTTTACCTCTTCATGCATTTTTCACTTTAATTCATCTTTTAACTGGTTAGGTTCTATCTTCAAATAGTTGTTTCAAGAAGGGTCTGTAGTACTGTGCTTTTGATTCCTTGCATCCTTGGTTGCCAGTTGATTTCTTGCATTGACTGTTTTAAGTTTATATTCTTTAAATCATAGTATCAGATCTTTTTTCTCCCTCTACTCCTTCCTTCTAGAGTACTATGTTTTGTAATATGGACTATTTTTTCATGGGCCTATTTTCCAACCGTTAACTTGAGAATTTCCTTTATTCCTTTACTGGGTTGATACTCTATTTCCTAGATCACATAACTTCTTTCTTGGGTTATTTCCCTTTTTTTTTTTTTTTTAATGAAATACTTTCTTTTGTGTCCCTGAGAAGGGTGTATAGGAGGAAAACTCTGAATCTGAAGATGTTTTTTATTTAATCTCACATTTGATGGTTTTGGCTAGATAGAATATTCTAGGTTAAAAATTTTTTTTTGCACAGAATTTGGAAAGTGTTATCTTCCAGTAGCGATGTTGGTTGAGTAATCTGATATTAGAATGATTCCCATTCCTTCATAGTTTACAATTTTAATCTCTGGAAACTTTTAGGGTTTTGTTTCATTTTTACATTATAGTTTTTATTTTGGCAACCCTGTCAACCATATTTTTAATTTTCAGGTTATTTACTGGTTGTTTTTTTGTAGTATGTGGTCTTGTTTTCAAAGTACAGTATCATTTACAGTCTGGCTGAGTGTGTGTGTGTGCATGTGTGTGTGTTTAATTCTTCTTTGTGCCTTGAATTATGTTTCCTCTGGGATCTTTTTGTTTATCTTGATATCCCTCACATGATATAAGTTTTCAATAAATATCTGGTGGTCCTTGCATGACCTTTTATATTTAGAAACAACAAATATTGTCTGGGAACTCTGTAGGAAAGGAATTATCAGCTCGTGGAGAGTGAATTGTTATGCTTTCATTTAAAAAGCAGATGCTTTTGCTCTGGGTTCATTATGCAATCATTAAAGTTAAAACTGATGAAGAAAAAAGTCATAAAGCTGTATGCACCAAACAACATAATAACTAAGTACATAAAAGTAAAAGATGTTATAAATACAAGTAGACTTTGACAAAAAAATAGTAGGATACTTCAATATTGACCTCCTCAGAATTGGACAATTCTAATAGGTAAAAATAAGGATATAAAGTTATGAATAATACAATAAAAATGAAAACAGAGAGCATTATATCCCTTAAATAAGCACTTTATTTTTTAAAAAAGATGTTATTTATTTATTTATTTATTTGACAGAGGGAAACACAGCAAGAGAGGGAACACAAGCAGTGGGAGTGGGTGAGAGAGACAAGCAGGCTTCCTCTTGAGCAGGGAGCCTGATGAGGGGCTCCATCCCAGGACCCTGGGATCATGACCTGAGCTAAAGGCAGACGCTTACTGACTGAGCCACCCAGGCACCCCAAATAAATACTTTAAAGAATATGTCAGTAAAACATTTACAAAGGTGGATCATTTACTATACCAGGACAAAATCCTTAATACATTAAAAGTGAATGATAAACCTTAAAGACATTATACGAAGTGAAATAAGGTGGACGTAAAATACTGTGTGGTTCCACTTATGTGACATACCTAGAGTAATCAAATCCAAAAAGATAACAAGTAGAATGATGATTTCCAGGGGTTGTGGGGAGGGGGAATAAAGAGTTAGGGTTTAATGGGCAAAGAGTTTCAGTTTGGGAAGATGAAAATTTTCAGGTGGGTGGTGGCAGTGTTTGCACAACACATGAATGTACTTAATGCCACTCTTAAGGCACACTGAAAAACAGTTAAAATGATAAAAAGTAGGTTATGAGTATTTTACCACAATTAAAGAAATGAGTGACAGGAATTTTTTTAAAGATTTTATTTATTTGAGAGAGAGAGAATGAGCATGAGTGGGGGAGGGTTAGAGGGAGAAACAGACTCCCTGCTGAGCAGGGAGCCCAGTGCAATGTGGGACTTGATCTGGGGCCTCCAGGATCAGACCTGAGCTGAAGGCAGTCATATAACCAACTGAGCCACCCAGATGCCTGAGTGGTAGGAATTTTATAGGCCACATCCTCTAATCATAAGCCAGCAGCATTTATAATATATAATTTTAAAAATTATCCTCCATTTTTATGGACTGATTTTCCCCCACTTCATATATTGAAGCCCTAATCTCCAATGTAATGTTATTTGGAGTGGGGTCTTTGGGAGGTAATTAGACTTAGATGAGGTCATAAGAATGTGGCTCCCATGATGCGATTAGTATCTTTATATGAAGCAGAAGAGAGACCAGAACACACTCTGTCTCCACCATTTGAGTATGCAGCTAGAAGGCACTGTCTATAAGTCAGGAAGAGAGATTTCAACAGAACCAAATTGGCTAGCTATCACCTCAGTCCTGGACTTCCAGCCCCCAAAACTGTGGGAAATAAATTTCTGATCTTTAAGCCACTCAGTCTATGGTATTTTATTATGGCAGTCTGAGCTGACTAAAACATCCATCTTAAATCATTAGGCCAATTTCTCAGATATATATTCCTGGATAGCACTTCTATAATAGAGAAATTGATAGGGAAAAGTCAGCTTTTAGAAAACAATAAAAAGAGTGATTAACACCTATGTTCATTAGAAATAGGAAAAATCTTACTGAGAGAAAATTTACAGGCTTAAATGACTTTGTTTTTATTTTATTTTTAAAAAAGATTTTATTTATTTATTTGACAGAGAGAGCGAGCGAGTGGGCACAAGTAGAGCAGCAAGCAGAGGCAGATGGAGAAGCAGACTCTCCACTGAGCAGGGAGCCCGATGTGGGGCTCAATCCCAGGATCGAGCCGATAAATGCCTTCATTTTTAAATCAGTGCCTTAGTTGGCTTGGATTGCTATAACAAAATACCATAGACTGAGTCACTTAAAAAACAGACATTTATTTTTCAAGATTCTGAAAGACTCTAAGTTGAGATCAGGATCGCAGCGTGGTTGGGGTCTAGTGAGAGCCCTCTTCTTGGTTTGCACATAACTGCCTTCTCACTTTGTTCACATGGCAGAGAGAAAGGAAGCTCTCTGGTTTTTCGTCTTCTTATAAGGACATTAATTCCATCATGAGGTTCCTACCTTCAGGTCCTAATTTAAACCTATTTACCTCTCAAACCCACCTCCAGAGACCATCACATGTGGGTAAAGACCTCAACATATGAAGTTGTGGGTGACATAAACATTTAGTCCATAGTAATTGATGTGACAAAAAGAAAGTAAATAAAGGACTATTCTTAATAAATTTAAAAAAGAACAACAGGGTTGCCTGGGTGGCTCAGTGGCTTAAGCCTCTGCCTTCAGCTCAGGTCATGATCTCAGGGTCCTGGGATGGAGCCTCACATCAGGCTCTCTGCTCAATAGGGAGCCTGCTTCCCCCTCTCTCCGCCTGCCTCTCTGTGCTACTTGTGATCTATCTCTGTCAAATAAATAAAATCTTAAAAACAAGAAACAACAACAAAGTAGAATTAAAAGTAAAACAAATTAATGAAATAAAAAATAAAAAATACATTTAATATTACTTAGTATGTTCAATAAAATACAGGATATAACATAGAGTACATTAGTATTTATTTTCTTTCTTCCTTATTTAAAAATTTAAATATTGTCATTTGTACTTTAGTGGATTTTGTTGTATACCTCCTGCGTTGTAGCCCCAACTTTGGGAACCGCAGATCAAGAGTATAGGAAAGGATATTTTTGTTTTGTTGAGCTTTTATATTGCTTTGAGGGTTGATATATTCTAATTGTCCTGAGAATTTATCTTGTAATTAAAGGGTTTTTTTTTGTTGTTGTTGGTTTGTTATGAATTTGCATTGTTTTGTTTCTACTCAGTGTTCTAATTCAATGACACATAAAATACATTAAGAAATAGAGTCTGGGGGGCGCCTGGGTGGCTCAGTGGGTTAAAGCCTCTGCCTTCAGCTCAGGTCACGATCCCGGGATCCTGGGATCGAGCCCCGCATCGGGCTCTCTGCTCGGCAGGGAGTCTGCTTCCTCCTCTCTCTCTGCCTGCTTCTCTGCCTACTTGTGATCTCTGTCTGCCAAATAAATAAATAAAATCTTTAAAAAAAAGAAAAAAAAAAGAAATAGAGTCTGGGGCGCATGGGGGGCTCAGTGGGTTAAGCCTCTGCCTTAGGCTCAGGTCATGGTCTCAGGGTCCTGGGATTGAGCCCCACATCGGGCTCTCTGCTCAGTGGGGAGCCTGGTTCCCCTTCTCTTTCTGCCTGCCTACTTGTGATCTCTCTCTCTGTCAAATAAATAAAATCTTAAAAAAAAAATGAAATAGGGTTTAAGGACATGAGAGTTCTGTTCTATCTGGCTTGCTCTAAATCTGTTGGTTTTGCGTAGGAGTTCAGGAGGAGCTATTATACCTGGTGTCCCACTACTTTTCAAATTTATGGTTCATGTTTTGTGTTATTGTTATGTCTGTTATTATGCTCTTGTTTTTCTAGAGATCTTGCGGTTTAATTACAGAATAAAATCTCATTTTTTTCCTTTAAGTACTGCTGTGTGAAAATTGCATCTTAGCAATGGTCCCTGAGAGATTTCTGAGAAATCTGAGAGATTTCTATTGTCTTAATATAATGCTAATTTTCCCATAGTAATCTCTAAATTACTGCACATATTATTTACAGTTGTCAAAGCTGCAAGAGGAAAGGTCGAGCTTGCAAGACCAGCTACGTGACTATGAAGATCGAATTAATGCTATGACTTCTCACTTGAAAAATGTTAAGCAAGAGTTTTCATTTACACAGGTACAATTATCCCAACATAATGTTGATTGTGCCATGTGTAGTCATGGAACATTTCACGTTGCATTTACACCTGTGATTTTATTTTAGGGATCTAACAGGAAACTTTAGCATAGCTAAACTATTGTCAACATAACCTTGAACCTAAAAGTAGGTAGGAAAAAAAGGCATTGAGGAACTCACTGCTACTACCAAGTTCAGGAATAACTAATTTATTTGAAAGAAGAAATAATTCAAACAGTATAATGTAATATTTAGGCACCAGATTATATGAGAAGGGTTTAGTGATCAGTGATTTTAAGCCAAAATAGACCTAATATAACATGTGATAGAATTTCCACCTCCTTTGCACTTTTTCAGTGGAACCCACTGGGCCATTTTGAGTAGAGGCAAATAGTTCACACACTTCAGTAGCCCTTAGGGCACCACAGTATTTTAGGATTTTGTGATAATGGAAGAGTTAAGTTGTATTTAGGGTATTATTTAAGATAACCAGCAAAAGTATAATCCATTTTAGAAATATTGTTACAATAATAAACTTAAAACTTAAGATGATTAGTTAAGTAAGCTTCTGTTTTATGGATAGTCTGTTCATGTGTAGAACATCATTCCCTGATGATGCCCAGCAAATCAGCTCAGCAAATCAGCACTGATGAGTTTACTAACTTCCATTTCAAGCTATTTTTTAAAAAATGCATTCTACCTTTCTTTGAAAGATATGTAATTCTTTAAATTAAACAAAGATGCTTTTAATACCAATTTATAATTAATACAGATAAGTAACCATTTTATTGTGTATAAGTCTTATTAGGAAACTACAAATTTAATGAACTTTTAAAAGCAACACTTCAAATTTTTGAATCCTAATACGATTGAGTAATTAAACTGGAACATCTTTTCTTAAAGTTATTAAATCACTGAGTTGGGGATTTGAAAGTCAGAGACTCTCTGTAGGTATACTTCATTATAGTCAAACCTTAATTAAATCAGATAATAGACACAAAGGACAATAAACTTCCTATAGCACTAACAGCTCTAATAATTAAAAATAATACTGATGGTGATAACTTCAAAGCACTCCAAACTCAACAGTCAACAAATACTATTTTGTTTAGTAAAGCAACACAAAGGCATTGATGGTTTATTAATATGTTCTGGGAAATATTTATAACCATCAGTGTTTACATAGTCATTTATAAATTATCTATTAATTAGAATATGTAATCAGTCTATGGAAACATCCCATTTCCCAAGTATTTTTAAGTCTTACCATTATAAACTTTGGTTTTCTTCAATTTCCCTAGACCAACATAATATCTGAAAATTGCTGACAACAATATTTTCTCCTAGGTCATTCCATGAACTGACTTTCTTACAGCTAGTACGCAACACAAACTACATTGAATCATAAAGTCTAACATTATTTAGGTTTCAGAGAAGTGGAATTAATAATACTTAATCTAAGTATTTTGTGTGAACTTTTTTGGGGGGCTAATGGATTTTTATAAATATTCTATAATTAAAAATTAAAAAGTCTTTCTATCTTGTAAATTATTTTGTAGTCTCTTTGTAAAGCTAGGGAGCATGAGATTGAAAGTGAAGAGCATTTTAAGATCATTGCTGAAAGAGAACTGGGACGAGTGAAGGATGAAATCCAACGACTGGAAAATGAAATGGCTTCAATACGGGAAAAGAAAAGTGATAAGGAAGTGTGTATTGAAATGTTACTTAAAATTTTGTGCTATTGTTCTTTCTTCCCTTACCAATCAAACCCTGATTTTTTTTTCTGTATGGTAAAGGCATTCTTTAGTTTGCCGACATTTACTTACATTGTTTTTTGGACAATGAAAGGCATGTGGCATTGTCATTTGAATGAAATGATAGAATGTTATATTTATTTTCCCACTATTCATTTACCAAACAGTTATTGAGCCACCATGTGCAGAATACCATACTGGCTGTCTATTGTGTGATACTAGGCATAATTTATTCATAAGTATCATATGTTACTAGGCATAATTCATTCATATATTTTTAAAAGGCCACATTAAAAAATTATTTTTAATATCGAGTTTCATTTTTCATTCAAAATTTTTACCTTTTATATTAATTTATTAGCCTGTAACTCTAACAATAAACTACTGTAACCTCTTTTTCTCTTTTCCTTTGTTTTAGTTGCCTGATTCGGGAGATCTATCCAAATTCAATTCTCAAAAAACAAAACAAAACAAAACAAATTCAATTCTCTTTACATGTGCATATACATGTAGAAATGTACATGTGTATGCATATGTACACATATACATACATATTTTATTATATTAATTTGTATTTATTTGCATATTGATTGTTTTCTTTTATGACTATAGATTTGTTAAATGAATACATTTCCAGAAATTTTTTTTATTAGTTTTAGAGGTAGAATTTAGTGATTCATCAGTTGCATAAAACATCCAGGACTCATTACATCAAGTGCTCTACTTAATGTCTATCATCCAATTATCCTTTCCCTCTACCCACCTCCCCTCCAGCAAACTTAGTTTGTTTCCTAAAGTTCAGTGTCTCTTATGGTTTGCCTCCCTCTCAGTTTCCATCTTATTTTATTTTTCCTTCCCATCCCCTATGTTCATCTGTTTTGTTTCTTAAATTCCTCATATGAGTGAAATCATATGGTATTTGTCTTTCTCTGACTGACTGATTCATTTACGGAAATATTTTTATCTTCTTAACAACTATATTTATTTCAATTAGAAGTATCCAAAACTTCCATAGGAAACGTCTCTTAGAGGCAAGAATCTGATTGGAAATGGAGCTGAAGGGGACTTGACTTGGGCTTGAGTTAGCATATCAAGCACATTATTTTTACTAAGATCATATATCCACATGGGGTGGATTTGGCAGAGTGGCTAATATTAGAGATTGCTCTGGGAGACTTTCCCTAAAGCCTTCTTAAGCCGTCTTTGACTCAACTATTATTCTCAATTTTGTATAATCATTTCCCCTCTATTTTACAACTGAAGAATTAAATACAAGTATGATAGTTATATAATAAGATGTGCATTATGTGTATCTGGAAGTTGGGAAAGGGATAGGATTACTTCTTCCTTTTTAATATGTTCTGTAATATATAATATTATGTTTTAGTTTAGTTTGTATAGTAAATAATATTTTGTAATCTCTCCCTGCCCCCTTTATTTGGAAATTAGAACAACATATTTAAAACTACTCAAAAATTGGATGGTTTGAAATGTCAGATGAACTGGGACCAGCAAGCATTGGAAGCCTGGTTAGAAGAATCAGCTCATAAAGATAGTGATGCCCTCACTCTTCAGAAGTATGCACAACAAGATGATAATAAAATTAGGGTGAGAAATTATAAATTGTAATCTTAGGTTTTCTCTAAATCTGTAGTATGTGAACCTTTTTACCTAAATTAGGTTTGTAATTTGAATGCCATAGTTCTTAAACTTTTTTTGGGTCAGAGACTCCTTTGACAGTCTCATAAAGCCAAGGATCCTCTCTTTAGAAAAGTGACTATACTCAAATACTCATAAAATTTTGCTGAAAGTTTTATAGATCCTCTGAAATCCTCTACCCATTTAGGGGTCCACAGACTCCAGCTTAAGAATCCTGATTGAGAAGAGTTTTCAAAAGCATTTTGAAATGAAAACATTTCAGAGAAGAAAGTTTTATATTAGAATTATGTATAAATAATTTAACTTTTTTTGTCTAAATAATAGTTTGAATGTAATATACAGTGTTTGCTGATTTGAGGCTATAGTATTATTTAATATATTATTAAAACATTACTTAAAATCTACTTGTAATTCAATGTGTTATATGTTAATATTCTGAAACATGCTATTTTCTAATAGATTTAATACCAAATACATTATTTCAAATGGCAAATTATTGTTTATTTTTTTCTAACTTTAAAAAGTATTAAAAGTCTTTTTAGAAATAATTGAGTTTTCATTGCGCCCTTTGGGGTGAAAAGACAATGTATAGTTGTTTTAGATAGCAAATAAGTGTGTGTCTATAATATAATAGTACTTAATGTGAGATATACTAATAGCTTTTAAGTTAAATGATAATTATGAATATTTTTACATGCAACTACATTATAGGTATTGACCCTGCAATTAGAAAGACTGACTTTGGAATGTCATCAGAGAAGAAAGGTACTTGACAACGAACTTACAGAGACTCTAAGTGCACAGGTTAGTTTATTTCTAATTAAGAATTAAGAAATAAGATAATTAAGAAATATTTTATTTCTTAATTGTTGAAGGGATATATGCTAAAGCACTTAAATTCACAAAAATGTTATTTGCTCTCTGACAGTTAGAATTGGATAAAGCGGCACAAGATTTTCGTAAGATTCATAATGAAAGACAAGAACTCATTAAACAGTGGGAGAACACAATAGAGCAGATGCAGAAGAGAGATCGAGACATTGATAACGGTGCCTTGGTAAAATAGTTGTTTTGTCCTTGCAATGTTCAACTGTGTTATTCTCTTTTGTATTTAACTTATTCATTTCAAATGTAACTCACATTATTTAAAAATCACTTTTGTAGTAGGGTTCAATAGTTTTGGTAAATGTTTTTCAAAGCTGACTCTTTCCACTTAGATATGTGATTTTATGAAGATTATTTACTCATGGCATTATAATTCTGAAGACTAGATTCTGCCCCTTTGAAATGTGAAACAAGAGAAAGTCAGTGGATAATTTTAGAGCAGTAAATCAATGCTCTGACTTACACATGGTTGTCCAAGTTGCTTTGGATTTAATATATGTGCTATTTGGAGTAATCACTGGTATAGAGAAATGAATCTCATAGTTGGCCAAGAAACAAAAAGGGAGAGTCAGGAAAGAAATGTAGACTGTGATAAAGTTTCACTTTTGAAACTGAGGCACCCATAGTAGGGAAGAAGCTTGGAAGCAAAGGAGTACCACACTGATTAAACACAGATTTAGTGTTATCTTTTGCTAGTTTCAGAGGTAACATCTTAAGTAAGTTAAGTATATATTGTATTATATTATACTTAAGTATATATATATAGAATGCTACTTTATAGAGTGTTAATTGTTATAATTGTGTAACATTGTTAAAAATGTGAATGTTGAAGTAGGTATTAAAGTATCTGTTTAAGTGCTAGTAAAGTAAATATAAGGCAGAAAGTTCTAGAATGATCATTTTACATTTATAAACTTAAGATGTTTTGACTTGTCTTTGGTTGAATGAACACTATGTATACAACCAAAGACAGGTCAAAACATCTTAAGTAAGTTTATATTATAATATATATTGTATATATATATATATATATATATATATATATATATATAGAATGCTACATTATAGAGTGTTGATTTTTTTAAAAGATTTTATTTATTTATTTGACAGAGATCACAAGTAGGCAGAGAGGCAGGCAGAGAGAGAGAGGTGGAAGCAGGCTCCCCACTGAGCAGAGAGCCCGATGCGGGCCTCGATCCCAGGACCCTGAGATCATGACCTGAGCCGAAGGCAGAGGTTTAACCCACTGAGCCACCCAGGTGCCCTAGAGTGTTGATTGTTACAGAGAAAATGTGAGATTAAATAAATTTACGATACCTTTTTTAAACACTATTACACATATTTTTATTTTTTATAGATTGTGTTGTCTAGAAAATTCAGCAGTCTAAATGTTGCTTCTTTTATTTTTTAAATTTTATTTTACTTTTTCAGTGTTCCAAGATTCATTGTTTATGCACCACACCAGTGCTTCATGCAATACGTGCCCTCCTTAATACCCATCACTAGGCTCACTCATTCCCCCCACCCCGCTCCCTTCCAAAACCCTCAGTTTGTTTCTCAATGCTTTTTTAAATGTAATGCTTTTCAGGGGCGCCTGGGTGGCCCAATCAGTTAAGCTTCTGCCTTCAGTTCAGGTCATGATCTCAGGGGCCTGGGATCAAGCGCCAAGTTGGACTCCCTGCTCAGGGGGGAGCCTGCTTTTCCCTTTCCCTCTGACCTTTGCCCTATTCTACTCCCCCAATGCCATACCCCATTCCCCATTTCTTCTCCCTCTGCCCTACCCCACTCCCCTGCTCATGCTCTCTTTCTTGCAAATAAAATCTTTTAAAAAATGTAGTACATTACAGACATATATATCCATTTAATATGCCAATATGTACAGTATTACGTGCAGCATTTCTTTTTTTTTTTTTTTTAAAGATTTTATTTATTTATTTGATACAGAGAGAGAGAGCAGCAGCAGCAGAGGGAGAGGGAGAAGTAGACTCCCCACTGAGCAGGGAGCCCTCTAGGGAACTCAATCCCAGGACCCCAGGATCATGACCCCAGCTGAAGGCAGATGCTTAACTGACTGAGCCACCGTGGTGCCCTACAGGCAGCATTCCTAAAAGTTACTAATTTTAGAACATACACCCTCCCTTAACCCAATTTTCTGGGATTAAATGTTTGGTAGGACCTCATTTTGGAATTACATTTTAGGGTAAATTTTCCTTCTTCCTCCAATTCCTTTAACATGTTGCCATCAACATCACTTGTAAAAACCATGTGAGCTTTTTATTCCTCAGCTCTAGAATCTTCTTTGTTCCACACTGCTTAAAAATTGAACCTCTTAAACATGGCAGTTAAAAAAAATGAATTTTTTCACAATTGGACCCTGATTCTACCTTTCCAGCCTCATTCCTTTCATATGTACCCACCCCTTCCTAATACATCCCCATTCCATCACTGCCCTCCCTACACTTTCACCACATTATTTATGCATCTCCATTGATCTTTTTAGGCCTAACTTAAAAGAAGCTTTTGAAGTAATGACTTTTAATAATTCCTCATTGGCAGACTTCACCATCTCTTTTTCCCATGGTGCTTTGTCCATGTCTCTGTTACTACCTTGTATATTCTATTTATTTTGTATCTCCAGGACCAGCAAAACCCCTCAGTGAAGACATTCTTATTGAAACAAATAACTAAAATATTATTCTCAAAAGATGAAAAAAAAAAAACTGGTCCTGTGAAATATTATTATAATAAAATAATTGAAATTCAACTTTCTATGTAAAAATATTCAACAGTGTTATATTTTTAGAATATTACCTTTTGTTTATGAAAGCTTGACATTTTTCTCTTCTCTTTAGCAAAGTACCAGTTAAGAAAACAAGATCTTTTAAAAAAAAGACCTTATTGATACTGATGTGTAACTCTGTAACATATTAATACTTTGTTTTTATTCATATAAAAATAGACTTTTTTTTTTTTTTTTTAAAGTAGGCTCCATGCCCAGCATGGAGCATAATGCAGGAGTCAAACTCAAGATCCTGGGATCAAGACCTCAGCTGAGATCAAGAGTTGCATGCTTAATTAACTGGGCCACCCAGGTGCCCCCAAAGTAGGCTCTCTTTAAAGAAAGTACTGTCTTAAGGAGTTTTGATAAAATGTTGAATATAGAAAAATAAAAACTAAATTCCTTTTTGTTTTGTTCATTGTATTAAACATATATTTAACATATTTTTAAACCTTAGGCATTAACGAGGATAAAGCAGGAAATACGAGAAAAAGAAAATTTGGTTAAAGAAAAGATCAAGTTTTTGGAAAGTGAGATTGGGAATAACACAGAATATGAGAAAAGAATTTCTGTTGCTGATCGTAAACTTTTAAAATGTAGAATGGAGTATCAGCGTCATGAAGCAAACAGAAGTCAGCTGAAAGATGAGGTATGTCAACTAAAAAGACTGGCTTGTGTATTTATGAAAAATTACTATAAAAATAAGCGTAAAAGCTCTCTTTTGATTAAGGAACTGTCTTCTAGTTTCTTTTTCTTATGTCCCTTCATGTTGTGGAATTTTAGGGTACTGAATTTTAGCCCTGCTTGGTGAAGGCAAGAGGGGTGCCAGGCATATCACAGGTGGTGTGAAGGGATTGGAAATTGGAATATTGTAGAGCATTTCATTGTACAACTTGTTACACTTTTTATTTATTTATTTTTAAAAAAGATTTTATTTATTTATTTGACAGACAGAGATCACAAGCAGGCAGAGAGAGAGGAAGGGAAGCAGGCTCCCCAATGAGCTGAGAGCCTGATGTGGGACCTGATACCAGGACCCTGGGATTATGACCTGAGCTGAAGGCAGAGGCTTTAACCCACTGAGCCACCCAGGCACCCCTACACTTTTTATTTCTGATAAAGAAGGAAAGATTTTTTTTTCTGTCCAAGAAGAGTAATTACATATGATTCTAAAGAAGTAAAATAAGCATATTTCTTGCCTAAATTAAATGTCACTGATAATAGTTTATTCTTAAAATTTTTTAAGTTTAAATCAATTGTATTAAAAAATGTCAGGATTCATTCACTCATAACTTGTTTATTGAGATATAATTCACATATAATAATTTACCCTTTTAAAGTATATAATTTGGGGGAGGAGTCAAGATGGCGGAGAATTAGCAGGCTGAGACAACATCAGGTAGCAGAGATCAGCTAGATAGCTTATCAAACCATTCCAAATACCTACAAACCCAACAGGAGATCAAAGAGAAGAAGAGCAGCAATTCTAGAAACAGAAAATCGACCATTTTCTGAAAGGTAGGACCAGTGGAGAAGTGAATCCGTGGGGGGAGGGGCTGGCTCCCTGCAAGCACCGGAGCACCAGAGCACAAAATCAGAACTTTTAAAAGTCTGCTCCACTGAGGGACATTGCTCCAGAGGCTAAACCGGGGTGAAGCCCCTGTGGAGACAGTGTGGCCTCAGGTCCCGTGGGGTCACAGAAGTATCAGGGGTGACTGAGTGTTGCAGAGCTCACAGGTATTAGAGCAGGGAACCCGGCTACAGAGACCGAGCTGAGGAGTGAGCTCTCAATTTGGGGTTACCTTGAACCATAATCTGTGGTACAGGCCACTGCTCTGTGGGTGGGGTCCCCACAAGATCCAGGGAGACCCTTCCTGGAAGAGCCCAGGGATCTGCAGGGTTTGGAGACTCCAGGCAGGGGTGTGTGCCAGAGACGGAGATGCTTGGTCACAGGCTAGGTGAGCTGGGAGCACAGCTGGAGGCCAGGGAAATGGGAGTGATTGAGTGCTTTTCTCTAAGGGCGCACTGAGGAGTGGGGCCCTGAGCTCTTGGCTCCTCTGGGCCGGAGATTGGGAGGTTGCCATTTTCATTCCCGTCCTCTGGAACTGTACGCAAAGCATTCAGGGAACAAAAGTTCCCGAAATTGAACCCTAGTGGATTACTTAGCCTGGCCCTTGGTAAGGGCGATGCAATTCTGCCTCTGGCAAAGACACTTGAGAATTGCTACAACAGGCCCCTCCTCCAGAAGATCAACAAGAAATCCAACCAAGACCAAGTTCACTTAAGAAGGAGAACAGCAGAATTCCAGAGGAGGAAAAGCAAAGCATGGAATTCATGGCTTTCTCCCCATGATTCTTTAGTCTTGCAAAGTTAATTTTTTTATTTAATTTTTTTTCTTCTGCTTAATTTTTTTAACTTTTATCCTTTCCTCTTTAAATGTTTTTTAACTAGTTTATCTTAACAATACCTTTAATAAAAAATGATCTTTTTTGAACCTTTATTATTATAGTCATATTTTATCCTTCATTGTATCTAACTTTATTTTTTGTATACACATAGGGTTTTTTCTTCTAAAAAATTTGGGATACAACTTCTTCTAATAGATCAAAATACACCCTAAATCTAGCACTGGGCTTGTCTCTGGTCCGAGCAATTTCTCTACACTTTCTTTTTCTTTATTCTCCCAACCAACTTATCTTATCAACTCCTTTTTTTAGAAATTAAAAAAATTTTTTTTCATCTTTATAGTCATATCCCATCCCCTCATTGTGTTTACCCTTATATATGTTTTTCATTTTTTAAAATTTTGAGAGGTAGTTTCTTCTAAGAGACCAAAATACTTCCCAAATTAAGTGGGTGACCCTGTTCTAGACCCTGTTCTAAACTTTGGGGAGGTAGTTTCTTCTAAGAGACCAAAATACTCCCGAAGTTAAGTGGGTGACCCTGTTCTAGTCACCAGTCTAATACACACACACACACACACACACACACACACACACACATATATTTCTTTTTTATATTTTTTTCTTTATTTGTTTTCTTTTTTTAATTTTTTTTTTCTGAACTTCTTTTTACTTCCTTTCTTCCCCCCATGATTTGGGGTCTCTTCTGATTTGGTTAAAGCACATTTTCCTGGGGTCTTTGACACCCTTTGAGTATTTTATTTGCTCCTTCATATATTCTCATCTGGAGAAAATGACAAGGCAGAAAAACTCACCACAAAAAAAAAAAAAAAAAAAAAAAAAAAGAGAAAGAGGCAGTACTGAAGGCTAGAGACCTAATCAATATGGACGTTGGTAATATGTCAGATCTAGATTTCAGAATGATGATTTTCAAGGTTCTAGCTGGGTTCGAAAAAGGCATGTAAGATATAAGAGAAACCCTGTCTAGAGAAATAAAAGCCCATTCTGGAGAAATAAAAAACCTAAAATCTAACCAAGTTGAAATCAAAAAAGCTATTAATGAGGTGCAGTAAAAAAATGGAGGCTCTTACTGCTAGGATAAATGAGGCAGAACAGAGAATTAGTGATATAGAAGACCAAATGACAGAGAACAAAGAAGCTGATCAAAAGAGAGACAAACAACTACTGGACCACGAGGGGAGTATTTGAGAGATAAGTGATACCATAATATGAAACAACATTAGAATAATTGGGATACCAGAAGAAGAAAAAAGAGAGAGCGGAGCAGAAGGTATATTGGAAAGAATTATTGTAGAGAATTTCCCTAATATGGCAAAGGGAACGAGCATCAAAATCTAGGAGATGCAGAGAACCCTCCCTCAAAATCAATAAGAATAGGTCCACACACCATCATCTAATAGTAAAATTTATAAGTCTTAGTGACAAAGAGAAAATCCTGAAAGCAGCCCGGGACAAGAAGTCTGTAACATACAATGGTAAATATATTAGATTGGCAGCGGAGTTATCCACAGAGACCTGGCAGGCCAAGAAGAACTGGCATGATATATTCAGAGCACTAAACGAGAAAAACATCCAGCCAAGAATACTATATCCAGCTAGGCTGCCATTGAAAATAGAAGGACAGATAAAAAGCTTCCTGGACAAACAAAAACTGAAAGAATTTGCAAACACCAAACAGCTCTCCAGGAAATATTGAAAGGGGTCCTCTAAGCAAAGAGAGAGCCTAAAAGTAGTAGATCAGAAAGGAACAGACACAATATGCAGTAACAGTCACCTTATAGGCAATACAATGGCACTAAATTCATATCTCTCAATAGTTACCCTGAATGTAAATGGGCTAAATGCTCCAATCAAAAGACACAGGGTATCAGAATGGGTTAAAAAAAAACAAAACCCACCAGTATGCTGTCTATAAGAAACTCATTTTAGACCCAAAGACACCTCCAGATTTAAAGTGAGGGGATGGAAAACAATTTACCATGCTAATGGACATCAAAAGAAAGCTGGGGTGGCAATCCTTAGATCAGATCAATTAGATTTTAAGCCAAAGACTATAATAAGAGTGGAGGAAGGACACTATATCATACTCAAAGGGTCTGTCCAACAAGAAGATCTAACAATTTTAAATATCTATGCCCCTAACGTGGGAGCAGCCAACTATATAAACCAATTAATAACAAAATCAAAGAAACACATCGACAATAATACAATAATAGTAGGGGACTTTAACACTCCCCTCACTGAAATGGACAGATCATCCAAGCAAAAGATCAACAAGGAAATAAAGGCCTTAAATGACACACTGGACCAGATGGATATCACAGGTATATTCAGAACATTCCATCCCAAAGCAACATAATACACATTCTTCTCTAGTGCACATGGAACATTCTCCAGAATAGATCACATCCTGGGTCACAAATCAGGTCTCAACCAGTATCAAAAGATTGGGATCATTCCCTGCATATTTTCAGACAACAATGCTCTGAAGCTAGAACTCAATCACAAGAGGAAATTTGGAAAGGACCCAAATATATGGAGGCTAAAGAGCATCCTTCGGAAGAATGAATGGGTCAACCAGGAAATTAAAGAAGAATTCAAAAAATTCATGGAAACAAATGATAATGAAAATGCCAACAGTTCAAAATCTGTGGGACACAGCAAAGGCAGTCCTGAGAGTAATATATATAGCAATAGAAACCTTTCTCAAAAAACAAGAAAGGTCTCAGGTACACAACCTAACCCTATACCTAAAGGAGCTGGAGAACAAACAACAAAGAAAGCCTAAATCCAGCAGAAGAAGAGAAATCATAAATTTCAGAGCAGAAATCAATGAAATAGAAACCAAAAAAAAAACAAAAAAAAACAAAAAACCAATAGAAAAAATCAATGAAACTAGGAGCTGCTTCTTTGAAAGAATTAATAAGATTGATAAACCCCTGGCCAGACTTATCAAAAAGAAAAGAGAAAGACCCAAATAAAGAGAATCATGAATGAAAGAGGATAGATCACAACCAACACCAAAAAAATATAAACAATTACAAGAACATATTATGAGCAACTCTACACCAACAAATTTGACAATCTGGAAGAAATGGATGCATTCCTAGAGACATGTAAACTACCACAACTGAACCAGGAAGAAATAGAAAACCTGAACAGACCCATAACCAGTAAGGAGATTGAAACAGTCATCAAAAATCTCCAAACAAACAAAAGCCCAGGGCCAGACGGCTTCCCAGGGGAATTCTACCAAACATTTAAAGAATAATTAATTCCTATTCTCCTGAAACTGTTCCAAAAAAATAGAAATGGAAGGAAAACTTCCAAACTAATTTTATGAGGCCAGCATCACCTTGATCCCAAAACCAGACAAGGATCCCATCAAAAAAGAGAATTATAGACCAATAATATCCTTGAACACAGATGCAAAAATTCTCACCAAAATACTAGCCAATAGGATCCAACAGTACATTAAAAGGATTATTCACCACGACCAAGTGGGATTTATTCTAGGGCTTCAAGGTTGGTTCAACATCCGCATATCAATCAATGTGATACAAGACATTAATAAAAGAAAGAACAAGAAACATATGATACTCTCAATAGATGCTGAAAAAGCATTTGACAAAGTACAGCATCCCTTCCTGATCAAAACTCTTCAAAGTGTGAGGATAGAGGGCACATACCTCAATATTATCAAAGCCATCTATGAAAACCCACCGCAAATATCATTCTCAATGGAGAAAAACTGAGAGCTTTTCCGCTAAGGTCAGGAACATGGCAGAGATGTCCACTATCACCACTGCTATTCAACATTGTATAGAAGTCCTAGCCTCAGCAATCAGACAACAAAAAGAAGCTAAAGACATCCAAGAGACAAAGAAGAAGTCAAACTCTCACTCTTTGCAGATGATATGATACTATATGTGGAAAACCCAAAAGACTCCACTCCACAACTGCTAGAACTTGTACAGGAATTCAGTAAAGTGTCAGGATATAAAATCAATCTACAGAAATCAGTAGCATTTCTATACACCAGCAGCAAGACAGAAGAAAGAGAAATTTAGGAGTTGATCCCATTTACAATTGCACCCAAAACCATAAGATACCTAGGAATAAACCTAATCAAAGAGGCAAAGAATCTGTACTCAGAAAACTATAAAGTACTCATGAAAGAAATTGAGGAAGACACAAAGAAATGGAAAAACATTCCATGCTCATGGATTGGAAGAAAAAATATTGTGAAAGTGTCTATGCTACCTAAAGCAATCTACACATTTAATGCAATCCCTATCAAAATCCCATCCATTTTTTTCAAAGAAATGGAACAAATAATCCTAACATTTATATGGAACCAGAAAAGACCTCAGATGGCCAGAGGAATATTGAAAAAGAAACCCAAAGTTGGTGGCATCACAATTCTGGACTTCAAGCTCTATTACAAAGCTGTGATCATCAAGACAGTATGGTACTGGCACAAAAACAGACACATAGATCAGTGGAACAGAATAGAGAGCCCAGAAATCGACCCTCAACTCTACGGTCAACTAATCTTCGACAAAGCAGGAAAGAATGTCCAATGGAAAAAAGACAGTCTCTTCAACAAATGGTATTGGGAAAATTGGACAGCCACATGCAGAAAAATGAAAGTGGACCATTTCCTTACACCACACACGAAAATAGACTCAAAATGGATGAAAGACCTCAGTGTGAGACAGGAATCCATCAAAATCCTTGAGGAGAACACAGGCAGCAACCTCTTCAACCTCAGCTGCAGCAACTTCTTCCTAGGAATATTGCCAAAGGCAAGGCAAGCAAGGGCAAAAATGAACTACTGGGACTTCATCAAGATGAAGTTTTGCACAGCAAGGAAACAGTTAACAAAACCAAAAGACAACTGACAGAATGGGAGAAGATATTTGCAAACGACATATCAGATAAAGGCCTAGTATCCAAAATCTATGAAGAGCTTAGCAAACTCAACACCCAAAGGACAAATAATCCAATCAAGAAGTGGGCAGAGGACATGAACAGACATTTCTGCAAAGAAGACATCCAGATGGCCAACAGACACATGAAAAAGTGCTCCACATCACTTGGCATCAGGGAAATACAAATCAAAACCACAATGAGATATCACCTCACACCAGTCAGAATTGCCAAGATTAACAAGCCAGGAAATGACAGATGCTGGCAAGGATGTGGAGAAAGGGGAAGCCTCCTACACTGTTGGTGGGAAAGCAAGCTGGTGCAACCACTCTGGAAAACAGCATGGAGGTTCCTCAAAAAGTTGAAAATAGGGCTACCCTACGACCCAGCAATTGCACTACTGGGTATTTACCCTAAAGATACAAACGTAGTGATCTGAAGGGGCACGTGCACCTGAATGTTTATAGTAGCAATGTCCACAGTAGCCAAACTATGGGAAGAATCTAGATGTCCATCAACAGATGAATGGATAAAGAAGATGTGGTATATATATACAATGGAATACTATGCAGCCATCAAAAGAAATGAAATCTTGCCATTTTCGATGACATGGATGGAACTAGAGGGTATTATGGTTAGCAAAATAAGTCAATCAGAGAAAGACAGCTATCATATGATCTCTCTGATATGAGGAAGTGGATGTGCAACGTGGGGGGTTTGGGGGGGGTTGGAAAAGAATAAATGAAACAAGATGGGATCGGGAGGGAGACAAACCATCAGAGACTCTTAATGTCACAAAACAAACTGAGGCTGGCCAGCGGGTAGGGAGAGTGTGATGGGGTTATGGACATTGGGGAGGGCATGTGCTATGGTGAGTGCTGTGAAGTGTGTAAACCTGGCTATTCATAGACCTGTACCCCTGGGGTAGTAATACATTATGTTTATTAAAAAAATATTAAAAATTAAAATTTATAATTCACTGGTTTTTAATATTACATAGAATATGCAACCATCACCACTATCTAATTTTAGACTATCTTTGTCTTTCCAAAAAAAAAACCAAAAAAACAAAACACTTACCCATTAAAAATCATTCTACTTCCCTCCTCCTGCCCAGCCCTGGCAATTGCTAATATACTTTCTGTCTCTATGGATTTGCCTATTTTGGACATTTCTTATAAATTCTTTTATTTACATGATGTTTTCAAGGTTTATCCATGTTGTAGCATGCATCAGTACTTCATTTCTTTCCTCTAAATTTTAAAATTGAGATGAAGTAGGGGCAGCTGGGTGGTTCAGTCAGTTAAACGTATGCCTTCAGCTCAGATCATGATCCCAGAGTATTGGGATCGAGCCCTGCATTGAGCTCCCTGCTCAGTGTGGAATCTGCTTCTCCCTCTGCCCTTCTGCCTGCTCATGTTCTTTCTTTCTCACTCTGTCTCCCAAATAAATCAATAAAATCTTTTTAAAATTTTGAGATAAAGTACACATAGCATACAGTTTACCATCTGAATCATTTTCAAGTGTACAGTTCAGTGAGATTAAATACATTCCTAGTGTTATGCAACCATCACCACCATTAATCTCTGTAACTCTTTTCTTCTTGTAAAACTGAAACCACATACTAATTAAACTGTAACTCCCCATTCTACCCCTTCTCCCAGCTCCTAGTAACTACCTTTCTACTTTCTCTATGAGACTACTCTAAGTACTTCATATGCATGAAATCAGACAGTATTTATCTTTTTGACTGGCTTATTTAACTTTTTTCACTTAGCATAATGTTCTCAAGGTTTATCTATGTTGTTGCAGATGTCAAATTTTTGCTACTTTTTAAGGCTAAATACTATTCCATTATATGTATATATAATATATATATGTATATATATATATCACGTTTTGCTTCTCTGTTTATCTGTCAGTGGACACTTGGGTTGCTGCCATGTTTTAGCTATTGTGAATAATGCTGCTATGAACATGGTGTACAATTATCTCAGAATTCCTGGATGATAATTATGGTAATTATGTTTTTAATTTTTTGAGGGACCAACATACTATTATAGTGGCTGTACCATTTTATATTTTCACCAAGAGTGCACAAACATTCATTTCTTCACATTATCACCTATACTTGTTCTTTTCTTTTTTTGGTAGCAGCCATTCTCATGGAAGGGTGTGAGGTGGTATTTCATTATGGTTTTGATTTGCATTTCCCTAAGGATTGATGCTGTTGAGCATTTTTTTTTTAAGGAGTTTATTGGCTATTAGTATATCTTCTTTGGAGAAATGTCTATTTGAGTCCTTTGCTCATTTTTTGGATCAGTTGGTTTGTTTGTTTTGTTTTTGTTTTTGTTTTTGTTTTGGTGGTGGTGGTGGTGAGTTTTAGAAATTATCTACATATTCTAGATATTAATCCCTTGTCAGGTATATGATTTGCAAGTGTTTTCTACATTTTTGGACTGCCTTTTAACTATGTTGACACTGTCTTTTGAGGCACAGAAGTTTTAAATTTTGATGAAGTCCAGTTTGTCTTTTTTTCTTTTGTTGCCTATCATATCCAAGAAATCATTGCCAAAATCCAATACTGTGATGCTTTTGCTCTATGTACCTTTAATACATCTATGTAAAGTCTGTAATTTGCCAGTATCATGCAATAAGCCATTCAGAATATAATATCAAATCAAAAAGAAAAGCTGTTAATATGTTTTACAGCAACATGGCCACTGTATTTATGGTTGTGATGTAGGTTAAAAACTAACATGTTCAGAATAGAACTTCTCAAAAATGAAATTAATTTATAAGATGTAGAATAAAAATTTAATTTCTGTCTGTTAACTAATGAATAGCTGGATTCTTTAAAAGCCACTGTGAATAGAAGTTCCAGTGATTTAGAAGCTATAAGGAGAAATATTTCCAAAGTAAAGAAGGACATTCATGAAGAAACAGCAAGGTAAGAAAAAAGATATTTATATATGTTTATAGTTCTTGACTACTTCTATTTTTTTAAGATTTTATTTATTTATTGGAGAGAAAGAGAGAGAACAAGTAGAGGGAGGAGCAGAGGGAGAGGGACAAGATGCAGGGCTCAATCTCATGACCCTCACATCACATCTGGATCTGAAATCAAGAGTTGGACATTAAATGACTGAACCACCCAGGCACCCCAGTTCTTGACTACCTCTAGAAAAATTATTAAATATTTAAGCTCTTGTTAATAATTGTAAACTGATAGCTGCTAAATGATTTAAACTTGAAAAAAAGTTTTTTCTGGGTTTTTCTTTGTAAAGGCTTAGGAACAATATTTTTATGATCTATTAAATACATGTTTAATAAATATATAAGGTTTACAGAAAGGTAACAAAAAAGTAATGAATAGGTTTATGGCAAAAGAAACCTTCACGTTATAAAGAAGAAATCTTAGGATAAACTGTTTCTTGTTTGTATTACTTTTTAGACATGTTTTCTGTCTTTCCTCATAAACTCTCTCTAGGTTACAGAAAATTAAAAATCATAATCAGATTGTGAGAAAAAAATTAAAGCAGATAACTGAGAAAACAATGTCTGTAGAAGAGAAAGCTACCAATTTGGAAGATATGCTAAAGGAGGAGGAAAAAAATGTAAAGGTAAAGTTTAGTTTTAGTTCTTAACAGTCACAGTGAATCTTGCAATAGTGAATTAGGCTCTTGCAGTCAGGGAGTAGGCGGTCTTTGAAGAGGCTCTGCTTTCTGGTGTGATCACATTTGTAATCAGAATTTTGAGTTGTTGGGCCCTTCTTTGTGTGTGGCTTCCAAGGATTTTTCTGGCCTTTTATCTTAAAGCTTCTCTTTCTCCTTTTGCTTCACTTTCGACATTTGATGTGGATGTCTTCTTTCAGAAGTAGCCCTCTACCTTTAATCTTGTGCCTTCCCAATGCCTGGTGTGTCTCTGCTTGCCATTCATATATATGCTCTTATATTGCGGAGGTACATTGAAAAATGCCCATATTTTAAAATTGATTTCTACCCTGACTGTTGGTTTTCTTTTTTTTTTTTCTTCTTTCCTTTCTTTGTGATCAAATTTCCCCCAATGGTCTACATTCCTTCCCTGTATTTCTTTATCATTTGTTATCTCTGATGGTCTGGCACCATTTATAGGTAAATGGACTCTTAAGTGTTCTACTCTGTTAACTCTGTTGGAATGTCTTTGGCATCTTGGTAACATTTAGGCCGATTTTTGAGGAACTGGAAAAGGCTGGTTCATCATTTCCTCTTTGAAAAGTTTGAAGTGACTTCTGTGATCTGACACTATTTATACTACTTCTTGCTTTTACTCTTTTTCTGAGTAATATCATGGCAATATCCTCCATTTGGTAATATCAAGTATGGTTTCACTTATAGTTGGATGGAATCAAGCTTCTTCGGTGTGCTGTTCAATGTTTAAAATCCCTGAATAATGAAGTCACGACTTGAGTGGTATATGAGTATAAATCACATTATTTTTAAAAAGTTGTTTTTTTCCCCCTAAAGCATGACTTTTTGTAGCACATGAAATAGGACAGTATTAGAACTTATTAGAAATCTATAAAGACTGAAATCCATATAAAGTAGACCTTTTGATGATGACATTAAAAACTGGTGACATTTTTGAAGAAATTAGCTTAATTAGGAAAAATGGGATTGGCAGCATGTGTCCTACAGTTTATTATGGCAGCATGTATAGCAGCATTTTATTCATAATATTGGTTTTTGTAGCTGTTGGTTTTTGTTTGGAAAAATCCTAACCTATATGTTTTGGAAGTGTACTGTGTTATACCACCAAGCACTGACTTTAAAACTGCCAGACAATCTTTGAGGTCTTAAAACAAATGAAAATGGTCTATTATATAAAAAAGCATTCTTAAGATTATATTCTGTTTTTTAATTTGTCAAAATTTAAATCTGCCAGTCACAGATTTTTTTTTTTTCATATTGAGGTTCATTTGTTGCCAAAAGGAAATATGCTTATCTGGGTGTAAGAACACAGGGAAATTATTTCAACATTTAAAATGATAACTTTCAACAGATCTTGCTTGGCATGGGAGAAGTCTAGAACACATGGTCATGAAACCTTGAGGTCAAGACAGATCTGCCTCTTAAGAAATGAGGAGTGGGAATGGGGGACTGGTTTCTGTTTCCTGGAAGGCTGCACATGTAGGGAGGCCAACTGGAGACAAGCTGTGAATAAAGGGTAGTGCCATTAGCATGTTGGGGCCAGCACTTACCAGCTCAAAACAAATGATAGTTGAATTTCCTGGAATTTTGCAAGTCAGCTGCTAACATAGCTACTATTAAAAATTAGGTTATATAGACTTATAATTAAATATATAACATTCAAAATGAAGTAAAATAAGTACTCAACACTCATCACTTCAAAATTATTTTACTAGATTTTACTATTATCTATTTATGCTCTTAAGATTCCTTACATTTATTATATCTGTATAGTGGAAATGCTATGTAATGGTTTGCTACTGCCTATCTCTTCCCAACTCTGCATTTAATGGAATCATGTTAGTGGCTTGAAATTGGCCATAGTGGGAATATTTATACAATGAAAAATCAGCTTCTTCCCCCTAACCTCCCATCCTTTGGAAAGCTGGTGGATAAACATTTACCTGCTCACCACTGGATAGTGCCCAGAAGAAGGTGGGAGATTGCATGATATGATTTCTTTCCTGTAACAACCTCAAGACTTCAGCAAATTCTGTGAACTTGAAAGTTGTGTGTCTCTGGTATATTTTATTTTCTAAGGAAACCAGTGGAATGGCAAAGTTCTAAGATCAGGGTGACATGGTACAGAATTGAGATGACAGATCAAGGTACTGGAATAGAGTAGACTATAAGAAATGTTGAAGATTTGTTGAAATTGTGGGAAGGGCATTCTTATATTCTTAAAGGCTAAAATGTTGGGGGTGGTTAATTTATGACCCCCGAAATTATAATGTTCATAAAATAAAACATTTTAAGCTACTATAATTTCATTGATCACTATTATTCTTATCACCAGGAAGTGGAAGTTCAGCTGAACATAGTGAAAGAGGTACTATTTAAGAAAGTTCAGGAATTACAGACTGAGACAATGAAAGAAAAAGCTGTTGTATCAGAAATCGAAGGAACTCGGTCCTCTCTAAAGCACCTCAACCATCAGTTACATAAACTGGATTTTGAAACCTTGAAGCAGCAAGAAATTATGTACAGTCAGGTAGATGTTAATCTTATGAATGTCTTCCTTATTGATTTGTTATAGTTGTGAAGGTTAAGATACCACAGTGTCCTGAAAAAGCAAAGATTTTTAAAGCATTCTTGGAGGATAGACAAATGTTGAAATGGGATATCACGTTTGGTCAGTAGTAAGGTAAGGGAGCCTTAAAAGCTATTTTTTTTCTTGATCTGAAATGAACTGGTGAGAGGATAGACTACTCTAGTGAGAGACAATCACGCCTTAGAGGAACCTGGGGCAATTGGGCCTGGAGTAAAACAAAACAAGGAGTGGGATATCTGAAACCTGGAAAAACTGTATGTTGAGTCTTAGTCATGCAAACATGGGCTTCCCTACCCCTACCCATAAACTAATAGTTTAAAAGCACTTTGGACGTTTTCACTTATATGTTCCATTTATATATTCTGTCTCATGTTAATTCTTTAATATCATCCCTCTCTACATCTCAATTTCCTTATCTAATGTAGTCTTAGTTTCTCAAAATTACGGATGCTGAAGTATTCTTTTAAAAATAATTCACTGGAAGTTCACCATATTTGAGCCATCCACAGCTAACAATTTATGACTTTTTTTTGTATCCCTTAGAAAATGGGCCCTCAAAAATCCATGTCCGTATAAATCCAGTGGTTTTACTGAGGTTTCATCCTAGTAGTATGGTGAATATCCTCCTAGCTGACTTCTTATATTTTCAGAAGATTACTTACTTTTATGTCATTATCATGCACTAGATCATTGAGGAATGGTTTGCTATTTCTTTGCTTAGAGCTAAGAAGGATTTTATACTATAAATTACTGATGAATTAAAGTGACTTTAGTAAATGAAGATACTTAGGACTAAACTTTAAGAAAGTGTTTATTGTGTTTTTACATTTATAGAAATGGTTTTAACTGTTTATTTCTCATTATCTGTTTTTTAAAAAATGCAACAGGATTTTTACATTCAACAAGTGGAACGCCGAATGTCACGGTTAAAAGGAGAAATTAATTCAGAAGAAAAACAAGCCCTTGAAACAAAAATTGTTGAGCTTAAAAAGATGTTGGAAGAGAAAAAATCTACATTTGGCCTTTTGGAAACACAGATCAAGAAACTTCATGTAACTTAGCCAAAATACTTTTGATGCTTCAAATATCCCAGTCATTAGTTATTCTGTTTTAAGTCAACATGGTCCTAAGACCATGTTTGGATAGGATGATTGCCAAGCTACTTGCATATATAACAAATGTATGAACTAATGTTCATGTTTCTATACTGACTACGAGAATATAACATTACCATTGATTATGCATTTACTATATGTTAAATATATTACATGCTTTTAGTATTTTATCTCATTTAATCTTTATCAGTGTCTTATAAGAGAGATATTAATACTCATGTCACAAATTAAGTAACTTGTCCATGGTTACACATGTAACCAAGCTGTACACAGCTAGTACATGGAGTGCTAGGATTTGATGCTTAGCCCACTGGACTTCAAAATACTCTTAAATAGTACATGGTTTAAAACATTGATGAATTTCATTTTTCTATTATGTTTTTGCCAGAATATCTTGATTGCCCTTTATCTTTGAAATGACCTTTATGGGTCATCTATTGTTATTCATATTTTTACTTGGTTACAATTTTTTGAATGGTTCTATTTTGTTAATAAGATAAAAATGTTCTTCATCTTCCGGTATATTACTGTTTATAGTCATATAAAGCCTATGTTAGGGGAGCCTATGTAATATAAATCGTATTTTAAAGTTTAACTGAGAGTAAGTAAAGTTGCTCACGGACCTGAATGGAATAACCCCAAAAGATAGGAGTGTCATTTACAGTTTGAAAGGCTTGTGATCGGTGTCCTCTAGTGGTTATAAGAAGGATTGCCCTGAATTCCTTCAGGACTGCAAAGGTGAAAGGAAGTTCTTACTTTTTAAAATAATTTTTTTTTTAAATTTTAAGATGATAAAATTTTGGTTTGGAGTAGTTTGTGGCCTGATGAAATGTTTAAAAACTGTTTCCTTAACTTCGTGGAAAAGAACATGTATTTTGGAATCAAAAACAAGTGATTGTGAATATAAAGTTTATTTTGTACTTCTATTTCAACTTTTCTGAGCCCCAGTTAACTGAGCCCTAGTTAACTCATCTATTAAATGAAAGAAAATATTTGGTATTATTTTAGGGTATTTGGGAGAATTAGAAGCAATGTGTATCTTAACACAGTGCTTTTAGGAGGTATTTGATAAATGGTATTGTTTTAATTACATAGAATATGATAAGAATATGAATGCTGCTGAATGATAGGAGGGTGACATTTGCATGCAAGCACATTTCTTGACTCTGGTGTGAATGGTATCTGTTTTGCTGTGTAGGAATAGTTCTAGTGTTCTGCCTTTTAACTACTCAGGCTCTGTCCATTATACAGCTGTATAGTACTTACTGCCTCTCCCAACTCAGTTTTAATAGAGAGATAAATAAATTACAAGAAATGCAAGTGAAGTTTTTAAGATATTAAAGCTAGTTAACCTTCTAATGAAGGTCTGCTCTTCTCAGTAGTACCATGAGATTGTGAAGTCATTCTGCATTACCTCTTCCATGCTATTCCATCTCATATGTTGAATAATAGAAACTAATTCCTTCTGGTTGAAAATCACCTTAAGTTAAAATTTTGTTCATTCTAAAAGTCAATTTTATGAAATCATTTTTTATGTGTGATTTTATGAAATCATACACACAAAAAATTCCTCTTCTTACAGTCTTGCTGCAATGCAATTCTCTTCATACCTAAGAGAAATACAGGCAATGAGAGAGGAATAGGCGGGAGGCAGAGAGAAAGAGAGAGTAAAAGACAGAGGGAGAGAGAGGAACAGAACTACGTCTTGAAACTAGAAAGTTTTTGCTTTAGGTACCCAGAGGGGATTATGAGCATAAACCTTGTTCCGAGGTCTGGGTGAGTAGGGAGATGTAGGCTGTTATAAAGCTAAGAACCCGATATCTGATGGATATGTTTGACACACTTACACATCGGATGGAATTAGAACTTTTCTAGCATTTTTCTCTCTAGCAATATATAACTATACATGTAATCAAGTAATAATAAAAATTCATGGCACTTCTGTGTGTCAAACACTGTTGTCGATACTCTTTGACAGTAACATCTCTAACCCTCACAGCAGCCCAGGCAGGTAGGTACTGTCATCTCCATTTTAGAAATGAGGAAACTAAGGAAGAGTAGATTGCCCACCATGGTCAGATAACTAATGTGTAATTAAGGCCATCTGATTCTAGAACTTGTACTGGGAACCAAAACCCTATGCTTTTTTAGACTGAAGGTTTTTGCCTTCTGTGACTTGGGTTCAATCAAATAAGGAACTTCAAAAGGTGAGCTGTATACTGAACTGATGCTTGGCTTCCTCTTCATATTTCTCTCCATAAATGGCAATCACCCAGTAATTCAGGTTGAACTATACATAATATTTTGCAGAATTATTGAACCAAAACCAAATCCAAAAAATCAATAGGTGATAAAAAGGAATATGTTTCTATGTGAATATCCACGTGTGTTATATTAGAAACATTAGAGCATGAAGTGTGAGATTTAAAAATCCAATTATTATAAATATTCAATGGAACATAATTTAATGTAAGATATGTTTATTTAATGTTATTTTAAAATATATATTTATGTACCTCTTTTCCCTTTTTATAGAATGATCTTTACTTTATCAAGAAGTCAAATAGTAAAAATTGTGATGAAAAACAGTTCCTCATGACCAAAATAAATGAACTAAACCTTTTCAATGACAGATCAGAGAAAGAACTTAATAAAACCAGAGCTTTGAAACAGGTGCAGTAAATAGTATGTGTATGTAATATTAAAAAACACATTTTAATGCTAATTATAGAAAATTTTAAAAATATACCAAACTATAAAGATGAAAATAACTCACTATAATCACTGTATACAAGATAAAAGTGTTAAAGTTATAGTATTTCCTTCTAGTCTTTTGAAGAAAATTGACTTTATATATATTATTTAAAAAATTTTTAAATATATTATCTATTTCCATGTATGTCAGCAAACGTTAAATATTAAACATTAAGTATTCTTTAAAAATTATTTTTAAAGTCCTCCTACAGTTTATTGCATGAGAATTTCCATAACTTATTTAACTGTATCTTGTTTTTTGGATATGAGTTTTTGGATATGTGTTTATTTCCAATGTGTGGTTATTCTAAGTGGTACTATCAGGTGGACCTGGCTGGTTCAGTCAGTGGAATGCAACTTGTTCTCAGGGTCATGAGTTTGAGCCCCACTTTGGGTATGGAGCCCACTTAAAATATAGTACTACCATATAGTATGCATATATGTTGTTGTATAATTGTTCAATGAGTTAGGAGAAATTTCTAACTGTGTAATTACAGTTCAAAAAGAATGAATATTTTCAGTGTCTTAAAACTATTTTTTTAAAAAAAGATTTCATTTTATTTTAGAACGAGAGAGTGCACGCATGAACAAGGGGAGGGGCAGAGGGAGAGAGAGAGATTCCCAAGCCGACTCTCCACTGAGTAGGAAGCTCCACACAGGGCTTGATCTCATGACCCTGAAATCATGACCCAAGCCGAAACTAAGAGTTGGGCACTCAACTGATTGAGCCACCCAGGTGCCCCCAGACTAATTTTTAAGCCAAACTGTCTTCTAGAGGGTTCATCTAATAGTCCCACAGCAGTGTGTGAGCATTCTATTTTACTCACCATCAGTAAGTGTGGATATTATAATTCATAAAAGTGTTGTCAATTTGATGAGCAAACATGGCATTTCATTGTATTAGTCTATATTTTTTAAGTTGGTGACAACGTGATGTTTAAACATAAAATTTAAAATATTTATGTTTAAATAAAAATGTTTAGGTGTGGCTGGGTGGCTTAGTGGGTTAAGTGTTAACTTAGTGGGTTAAGTGTTAACTTTTGGTTTCAGCTCAGGTCATGATCTCAGAGTTGTGGGATGTGGACTCTGTACTGAGCATGGAGCCTACTTGGGATTCTCTCTCTCCCTCTCCCTCTGTGTCCCCCTTCCCCCCCACCCCCACTTCTGTGTGCTCTCTTCCTCTCAAAAAAAATGTATGTTATATTCCATGATCTTTCTTTTTTGGATTTCTAGTTTATTATCTTGGCCCATATTTCTATTAGAAGGTTTATATTTTTTAATTGCTTTGCAAAAGACCTTCATATGTAAAAATATTAACTGTCATATTATCAATATTTTTTCCATTTATCTTTAAATTTTTATTCAGATTTTTGACATTAAAAACCTTTTTTAACATCAATTACTTTTTCCCTAAATAATTTTTATACTTAGAAACTTCTTTGTCATACTAAAAATCAAACAAATGTTTAATATTTCAGTAACTGCATTGGTATTATCTCTTACAGTAAATTTTTCATTAATCTGGAATTTCTTTTTAGTACATTTGAGATGTAGGGATCTAATCTTTTCTCCAACTAAAAAGCTGTGTTTTGAAATAATAAAGTCTTATGTTCTGTAGTGTTTGTTTCTGGGCTTTCTATTCTGAAAAGTGATTTATTTGTGTACTCTTCTGTCAGTACTCTATCCATGACTGAATTGTTTAGAATAGAAATTTATTTACATGTTATTTTGTGAGATTTAGTTTAGAATATAAAAATTTTCATCCATAGGAATATATATATATTTCCTGGATTGTAAGATTTTGGGAATCTTCCTTTTATTTTTTTTTAGTAAAACTTAAATTTCAGATTGAATTATAATAAGACTTGGAATAAATCCTTTTCTTAAAAATGAAGAAAAACCAAGAGTTATCACTGAGAGCAATCTAAATTTAATCCTAGTTATCTTGGTCAGTGGTCAAATTAGAAAAAGTTGTATTTTCAAGTTTGACTTTTGTGGCAATAAAATAAAGCATTTTGGTCTGTGTATAACAGTAATAATTTAAGTATCTGACAATTTTGTTATGTTGATAGGATTTGATGATAGAAGATAATCTTTTAAAACTTGAGGTTAAACGTACTCGAGAAATGCTTCACAGTAAGGCAGAAGAAGTACTTTCTCTGGAAAAAAGAAAACAGCAGTTACACACGGCTATGGAAGAACGAATCGAAGAAATTAAGGTTCACAAAACAATGCTTGCATCACAAATAAGATATGTTGATCAAGAACGGCAGAACATAAGGTAATTTGTGCTTTAAAATACTGCTAAAATTTTTTTGAAAATGTAAGTGGTGTCAGAAGAACTGACTGGATGATCATCTTTTTCTTATTTGGAAAGGCTTTTATTTTATTTTATTATTATTTTTTAAAGATTTTATTTATTTATTTGACAGACAGAGATCACCAGCAGGCAGAGAGGCAGGCAGAGAGAGAGGAGGAAGCAGGCTCCCTGCCAAGCAGAGAGCCTGACTCAGGGCTGGATCCTAGGACCCTGAGATCATGACCTGAGCTGAAGGCAGAGGCCTAACCCACTGAGCCACCCAGGCGCCCTGAAAAGCCTTTTAATATATTGGACACATTTTAATAAAAAACCTGTTTTTTCCTCACTCTTTCCTTTGGGTAACTTCTAATTCTCTAGATTATCCCTTTTGCAATGAGATCACTAATTCCCTTGTTTGATTTTCAAGTATGTTTTGTGGTGAGAGTTCAATAACATGCTTTTCCTTATGGCTGCATTTATTAAAACAATTTTTCCCTAGAGGTTTTGCATATCTTTTATAAAAAAGATTTATTCCTGACTGCATGCTACTTTTTATATGATTAAATTAATTAAGTAATTAATTTATTATTTATTTGACAGAGAGAAAGCATGAGTAGGGGGAGGACAGGGGGCAGAGAGAGAGAGAATCTTAAACAGGCTCCATGCTCAACGTGGAGCATGATGTGGGGTTCTATCTCAGGGCCCTGAGATAATGGCCTGAGCCAAAATCAAGAATCAGATGCTCAATCACCTGAGCCATGCAGGCACTGCTACATGCTACTTTTTAAAATGTTTCTGTAAATGTTATTTCCTTTTAAATCGTTTCATTTTTGGTTTGTTGCTAGCATTATAGAAATACGGTTGATTTCTATGTATTAAGAATCCAGCAACTTTGCTTAAACTGTTATTAATTCTGACAGTTGATCTGTAGATTCTAATTTCTAGGTATTTCATTCACATTCATTGCAAATAACAGTTTTGTGTCTCTCTTTTCAATCTTTATAACTTTTCTTTCTTTTGCTTCACTGTCCTTGTTGTCTGACCTCCAGGTCAGTGCCAACTGGCAATGATGATTGTAGGTCCCCTAGTCTTGGACCTGATCTGGAAGGGAATCATTTTATCATTAATATGAATTATAGACTTTTTTGAGATAATTTTTAAATATCAAGGGAGTGCCCATCTATTTTCATTCTTTGCTAAGAGGTTGTTTTAGTTCATTTCATCAGGAATGGATGTTGACTTTTGTTATTTGCTTTTTCTGTATTCATTGATATGATGTAGCTCCTTCCGTCTGTTAATATAGTTAAATATAGTGATTGATTTTTCAAGGTTAAAATAACATTACAATCCAGGAATAAACAAAACTTCTCTGTCACATATTACATTTTCTATAATTCTAGATTTTGTTTGATGATATTTGTATATAGTTGTCACATCTGTGGTTATAATTCTCCTTTCTGTGTTGTCGTTGTCAAGTTATCAGGTAATTAAGGTTATGTCAGCTTTCATAGAATGATTCTGTGTGTTTTTTATTTTTCTGTAGTCTGGGTAAGTTTGTAAAAGAGTAGAATTATATCTTTCTTGAATTTTCAAAGATCTTACTAGTAAAGCCATTGGATGCCTGGACTTTTTTGAAGTTTTTCAACTACTGGTTCAATTTATTGATTGGTTATAGAACAACATAGATTTTGTATTTCTTCTTCAGTAAGTTTTAGTAAATTATATTTTTCCCTAGGAAAAAATTTCCATTTCATCTAAATTTTGAGTTATTGCCATAAAATTGTTTATGATACCATTTTATTTTTTGTTTAATAGCTTCAGTGTTTGTAGCCTTTCATTCCTGATATTATTTGTGACTTCTCTTTTTTAGGTGGGACAAGTCTTGCAGTGGTTAATGAATTTTATTATTCCTTGAAAAGAAACAATGCTTGTTCATTTTTTTCTATTGTGAATCCATTTTCTATTTTATTATTATTATTATTTTTTAAAGATTCTATTTATTTATTTTAGAGAGAGAGAAAGAAAGCATGAGTCAGGGAGGAGCAGAAAGGGAGGGAGAGGGATGAAGAAAGAATCTCAAGTAGGCCCCAAGTCAAGCCCAGAGCCTCATGCAGGGCTTGATCTCATGGCCCTGAGATCCTGACCTAAACTGAAACCAAGAGTTGGATGCTTAACTGACTGAGCCACCCAGGTCACCACTTTTCTATTTTATTAATTGCTGCTCTCACATTTACTATTTTTTCCTTCTATTTTTGTGGGTTTATTTTGATGTGCTTAACTTTTTGAGATAGATGCTTAGCTAATTATAAATTTCAACTTTGTGAAATTTTTATTAATTATTTTTATTAACATATAATGTATTATTTGCCCCAAGGGTACAGGTCTGTGAATTGTCAGGTTTACACACTTCACAGCACTCACCATAACATATACCCTCCCCAATGTCCATAACCCAACCACCCTCTCCATACACCCCCTTCCCCCAGCAACCCTCTTTGTTTTGTGAGATTAAGAGTCTCTTATGGTTTGTCTCCTTCCTGATCCCATCTTGTTTCATTTTTTCCTTCCCCACCCCGCAACCCCCGACTCTGCCTCTCAAATTCCTCATATCAGAGAGATCATATGATAATTGTCTTTTTCTGATGGACTTATTTTGTTCAGCATAATACTCTCTAGTTCCATCCACATCATTGCAAATGGCAAGATTTCATTTCTTTTGATGTATAGTATTCCATTGTATATATATATGCCACTTCTTTATCCATTCATCTGTTAATGGACATCTTTCCATAGAGATTCTTTCCATAGTTTGGCTATTGTGGACATTCCTGCTAGAAACATTTGGGTGCACATGCCCCTTCGGATCACTACATTTGTATCTTTAGGGTAAATACCCAGTAGTTCAATTGCTGCATTGTAGGGTAGCTCTATTTTCAACTTTTTGAGGAATCTCCATACTGTTTTCCAGAAAGGCTGCACCAGCTTGCATTCCCACCAACAGTGTAGGAGGCTTCCCTTTTTCCCGCATCCTCGCCAACATCTGTTGTTTCCTGACTTGTTAACTTTAGCCATTCTGACTGGTGCGAGGTGGTATCTCATTGTGGTTTTAATTTGTATTTCCCTGATGCCGAGTGATGCGGAGCATTTTTTTCATGTGTCTATTGACCCATCTGGATGTCTTCTTTGCAGAAATGTCTTTTCATGTCCTCTGCCCATTTCTTGATTGGATTATATGTCCTTTGGGTGTTGAGTTTGGTAAGTCCTTTATAGATTTTGGATACTAGCCCTTTATCTGATATGCTGTTTGCATATATCTTCTCCCATTCTGTCAGTTGTCTTTTGGTTTTGTTGGCTGTTTCCTTTGCTGTGCAAAAGCTTTTGATCTTGATGAATCCCAGTAGTTCATTTTTGCCCTTGCTTCTCTTGCTTTTGGCAATGTTTCTAGGAAGAAAAAGTTGCTGCAGCGGAGGCAAAGAGGCTGTTGCCTGTATTCTCCTCAAGGATTTTGATGGATTCCTGTCTCACATTGAGGTCTTTCATCCATTTGAGTATATTTTCGTGTGTGGTGTAAGGAAATGGTCCAGTTTCATTCTTCTGCATGTGGCTGTCCAATTTTCCCAACACCATTTGTTGAAGAGACTCTTATCCATTGGATATTTCCTTCCTGCTTTGTCAAAGATTAGTTGACCATAGAGTTGAGGGTCGATTTCTGGGCTCTCTATTCTGTTCCACTGATCTATGTGTCTGTTTTTGTGCCAGTACCATATTGTCTTGATGATCACAGCTTTGTAATAGAGCTTGAAGTCTGGAATTGTGATGCCACCAACTTTGGTTTTCTTTTTCAACATTCCTCTGGTTATTTAGGGTCTTTTCTGGTTCCATATAAATTTTAGGATTATTTGTTCCATTTCTTTGAAAAAGTTGATGGTATTTTGATAGTGATTGCAATCAATATGTAGATTGCTTTAGGTAGCATAGATATTTTCATAATATTTGTTCTTCCATGAGCATGGAATGCTTTTCCATTTCTTTGTGTCTTCCTCAATTTCTTTCATAAGTACTTTATCGTTTTCGGAGTACAGATTCTTTGTTTCTTTGGCTAGGTTTATTCCTAGGTATCTTATGGTTTTGGGGCAATTGTAAATGGAATCAACTCCTTAATTTGTCTTTCTTCTGTCTTGCTGTTGGTGTACAGAAATGCAACTGATTTCTGTGGATTGATTTTATATCCTGACACTTTACTGAATTCCTGTAAAAGTTTTAGCAGTTTTGGAGTGGAGTGTTTTGGGTTTTCCACAGAAAGTATCATATCATCTGCAGAGAGTGAGAGTTAAATTTCAACTTCGAAGGTTAAACATTAGTTTAGCAGTGTCTTACACAATTTTCTATAAGGGCTAAATAGTAAGTATTACAGGTTTTGTGGGTCATGTGGTTTCTGTTGCAACAACCCAACTCTGCCATTGTAGAGCAGAAGCAGCCATAGATAGTATGGAAATAAATGAGCATGCCTGTATTCCAATAAAACTTTACAGACACTGAAATTTGAATTTCATAGAATTTTTATTTTTCATTAAATATAATGTTCCTCTTGATTTTTTCTTTAATTATACATTTAAAAAATGTAAATGGCATTTTTTTCCTCATGGGCTGTACAAAAACAGGTAACAGGCAGGATGATTTGTTGACTCCAGATTTGTATCACTGAGTAGTAATATTGCATTGCATACATCTACCCCAATTTGTGTATACATTTATTGTTTCTGGGTTTTAACTATTACAGATAAAGTTGTTCTGAACATATATGTGCTTGGTATGAGCATATGCTTTCTTTTCTCTTGGATAAATACCTATTATATGATAGGTATTGTTTTTGTCTTTTCTGTCTTTCATTGGTTTTACTAATTTTGTTTTTCCCTTCTTTCCTCTTTTTTGTTTGGAATATATGCATTGTAATTTTTATTATTTTGTTGGTTATTCTTTTTTATTTTAAGATTTTATTTATTTATTTGATAGCGATCACAAGTAGGCAGAGAAGTAGGCAAAGAGAGAGGGGGAAGCAGGCTCCCTGCTGAGCAGAGAGCCCAATGCAGGACTCGATCCCAGGACCCTGAGATCATGACCTCAGCTGAAGGCAGCGGCTTAACCCACTGAACCACCCAGGCACCCCTTGTTGGTTATTCTTAAATTCAAGAGAAACTTCAACCTTCCTATTTCTCTCTGAATACTGAGGATTAATTAGCTTACGATTTTTTTTCCTTCATAAAAGAGATAAGACTTCTAGCATCTTTTACTGCTGCATTTCCTCTCTCCTTCTTTCCTGTGTTGTTGAAACCACCAATTATAGTTTCAGGTTGTTATTTTTTGTTTTTAATATTATGTTTCTATTTTTAAAGAACTCCTTTCTTATAACTTGCATAAACTATACAGTCAATTTCCAGCAATAATTCCACCTAGCTATATGTTTTACATGTTTTTGGTTTAATACTGTTTTGTGTATCCTTTGTCATCTTATTTTCTTGGATTCCCATGTCATTTCTCTGGAGTATGTTTTGAATTTTTTTTCCAGAATTGATGTTTTCTGAAATTTTTGAGTTCTTGCATGTTTAAAGCATACTTACTCTGTTCATATTTGAATTACAGTTGGACTTTGAAAGCATTGTTTCATATTCTTTTAGATGACAGTGTTTTTATGAGAGGTCTTACTCAGACTAATTCATTTTGTTTTGTAAGGAACTTGGTTTTTTTTTTTTTCTGTCTGAAAAGCTTTGGAACACTTTTCTCATCCTTCGGGTTTCAGAATTTCTCTATGTGTCGGGTGAGTTTGTTTTTTTTTTTTTTTGGCTTTCATTTTTATTGTTTGAACCTTGGTGAACTCTCAATTATTTCATCAAGTTTTTCTTTAGGTCAGGGAAATATTTTTCTATTAGTTCTTTAATTTTTTTTCTCACACCACTCTCTGTGTTCTGCATTTGTTGCTTATTTTTAGTGGTTGTTGGTCTGTCTTCTGGATTTCTTAACTTTACTCTCATTTTAAAATTTCTGTTCTTTTTATTCCCCTTTTTAAGATATTCTCATTCTTTCCCTCCCTAGTCTCTTTCTTTCGGCCTACTCTCCATTCTCTGTCCCCCTTTCTCTCTTTCTCTAGATCATTGATTAATCTTTCTTACTACTGTTAAGTTGAGACGGGGGAACTATTTGCAAGGATTCTTGTTCCTTCACTGGTCATTTCTTTTTAAAGCAGTCCATTCTTGTTTATGGATAGTTTCGAATCAATATCCTCTCATCTTTTAGAGATACTGGAATACTTTGGAAGTTCTCTTCTATCCCATGCATTATTTTTGTTTCTCTTAGTGTATGTCCTATGTTTGCTGATTTTGTTCTTTTCGTTCATGCTGTTAACTTTCCAAAATGTCTGATAGTCCTTGGCTTTCTGTTATATTTAATAACAAATGTTTAATTAATAATCATGGTGATTGATATAGCAGCTGGTATAGGTTTCTTCTGCAGTTAGATAGATCTTTTTCCCCAGTTGGTCTCTCCTCTAAATGGGAGGGCTGCTTATGGGCACTGGGCTAATTTTGCCCTTAATGACCAAAGTAGTTTGTCCCTTAAGGAGTTTATTTTGGGTGATAAAGACTATTTACTTCATGGGTGGAACTTTGGTTTTTATTAATCTCCACTGTTGTGGGGGCCTGGAATTACATCATGCTCTTTTTTACTTTTTTCTTCAGTGCCGACAAACAATGCTAGGAACTCTGCTAATTTGGGGGCTTATCATTGGAGCATAAATAATTCCTGCCAACATTTCTATAAACTTTGAGGGGTTGAGGAGAGAGGCCTAGATTTTCTGTCGACAATCCTTTCATTACTTACCTTAATAATAGCCTAAGAGATCACTCTTCATCTTTTTATTTCTTATTTTTGGATTTGAATTTTCTCCAGACTTCTTTGATGAAACGTGGCTCTTATTTCTGCATTAATAATTTTCTGTTTTTATCTCTATCCTCCCTCTCCCTCCATCAATCAAATCCCATTTGTTTCCCATTTTTTTCATGAGTTCATGACAAAATTGTGTCTTTCTCTTTCCCAGAACTGTGGCAGTTTTTTTTTTCCTCCCTTTATTCTTTTCCATTTTTGGAAGGAGAAGAGATGTACTAGTGCTCAGTTCACCATCTTAGGCTGGAAGCCAACAGGTCTTGTCTTTTACAATCATATAAAAGTTGACTAAATATTTTGTGATGATACAACAGTAATACTTAAAAATAAGCAAAGCCATAACTTCTGTTTCTTAATGTGTTTTACCACCAAATTTTCTTTAGGAGTAGGAAAACTGGTAGGTTGAAGATTTCTTCTCACCATACTTGGGTAGTACACTTTCACAAGATTGTAGTAGGCAAATGAATTTTTTAAAAGTTCATAAAATATGAATCTGCCAGAATAAAAGGAAAAAAATAATCAGCAGAGTAAAAAAAGTCTAAATCTTGGGAGGCACTTCTTTATAGTTTCTCATACTTCTGTGTGTCTTGCAAGGAAATGTACTAACATTCCTGTTCTGGACTATCTTGTTAAAAATTTTTGCAAAAAAAACACAAAACATAAAATATACTAAACATTATTAAGTGTACAGTTCAGTAATGTTACTAAGTATATTCACATTGTAGTGCAATAGATCTCCAGAACTCTTTCATTTTCTGAAACTGAAACTCCATACCTTCTAAACATTAATCATTTCCTCCTTCCCCTAGCTTTTGGTTACTACCATTTTTTCTCTGTCTGTATGAATTTGACTGCTTTAGATACTTCATGTAAATGGAATCATGCAGTATTTGTCTTTTGTGACTGATTTATTCCACTTAGCATAATGTCCTCAGGTTCGTCCATGCAGCAGGTGATGCAATTTCCTTTTAAGGCTGAATAATATTCCATTGCATGTATATACCACATTTAGTGTATCATTCATCTGTCCATGAATATTTGGGTTGCTTCACCTCTTGGCTCTTATAAATAATGCTGCTATGAACACTGTGGTGCAGAGATTTCTTCAAGTACCTACTTCTGATTTTTTTGGCTTTGTAACTGGAAGTGTGATTGCTGTATCATATGTAGTTTTATTTGGAATTTTTTGAGGAACTGCAATACTGTTTTCCATAGTGGTTGCATCGTTTTATAGTTCCACCAATAGTGCACAAGATTTCAAATTTCTCCACATTATTGTCAGTACTTTTCTTTTTAAGATTTACTTATATTTTTATTTTAGAGATCAAGAGAGTACACTAGTAGTGGGAGGGGCAGAGGAGGAGGGAGAGAATCTCAAGCAGACTCCCCACTGAGAGCCCCCAGGACTCTGAGATCATGACCTGAGTTGAAATCAAGAATGGGCAGCTTAACCAACTGAGCCACCGAGGCACCATGCCAATACTTTCCTTTTTTTCTCTTCTTTTTGTTTTCTTTTTTTTTCCTTAGCTACCCAAAGACTGTGAGGTAATAATGTATTGTGGTTTTAATTTGCATCAAACTATCTTTTAAAAGATGTTTAGATAGTAAATAGCCTTAGAAGTTAAAGGTGGTATCCTCTTGCTGGAGTAAAGATTGGATGTATTAGCTTAGTTCCTATTACAAGATATTTGGACTATGTAAGCTTGAGGTTCCTCAGCTCTGGTATAAACCTTCAGTGTATATAACATCCACTTGAGCTCCTCCTCACTTGCATGGGACTTTGAGCTCTGCAAGCAGGAGGTGCATGCTACTTGGTGTACCATGAATGGCAAAGTCCTTTTTCTCTGACCTAGGAATCTTGTGTCTTCTGCCAACATCCATGAAACTATGGCAGCCTAACTTCTTAGCTTTCAAATAGGGTGAAACCTGAGATGCTTCCCACTAATTAAAAAATTGAAAAGTGAGAACATATTTAACCTGTTTGACTTCGTTATTTTATTTTAGAGATTTTATTTATTTATTTGACAGAGATTACAAGTAGGCAGAGAGACAGGCAGAGAGAGAGGAGGAGAAGCAGGCTTCCTGCCCAGCAGAGAACCCAATGCAGGGCTCGATGCAGGGCTTGATCCCAAGTTTCTGGGATCGTGACCTGAGCCGAAGTCAGAGGCTTTAACCCACTGAGTCACCCAGGCGCGTCTAACTTCAGTATTAATGAAAATATCTTATATAAGAAAATAGCCCTTTAAAAGAGAGTATGTTATTTGTTTTTCAGTGTTTTCTTTTTCTTTCCATGTTAGTGCTGAGTTTCATGAGAGGCTAAGTAAAATTGATAAGCTGAAGAACAGATATGAAATTCTTACTGTTGTTATGCTGCCTCCTGAAGGAGAAGAGGAGAAAACACAGGCCTATTATGTGATAAAGGTAATCTTAATGATTTCATAATTGTGAAGTATCTTTGTCTGTAGTCTGTAAACCAAATGGCTTGCTGTTGTTGTTGTTTTGCCTTGCAACTTTAAATTTCATAGCAGTTTTGTAGCTATTGCACTTGATTAGGGCCATAAAACATTAGTTGTTAAATGGAGGTACTGAAGCTATTATTTTTTAAAGATTTATTTATTTGAATGAGAGTGCAGGTGTGCTCAACAGTGCATGAGTAGGGGGAGGGGCAGAGGGAGAGGGAGAGAATCTCAGGCAGACTCTACTGAGTGCAGAGCTGACACTGGCTTGATCTCACAGCCCTGAGGTCATGACCTGATCCAAAACCAAGAGTCAGAGGCTTAACTGACTGAACCACTCAGGCGCTCCCTGAAGCCTATTATATATTATACATATAATTTATAAATATAAATAAATATAAATTTATAAATATATAAATAAATCATATATATGATTTATTTATTTGCTTTAGAGGGGTGGGCAGAGGGGGAGGGATAGAGAATCTCAAGCAGACTCCATGCTCGGTGCAGAGCCTGACATGGGGCTCAATCTCATAATCCTGAGATCATGACCTGAGCCAAAACCAAGAGTTGGATGCTTTACTGCCTGTGCCACCCAGGTACCCTGAAGTTATTATTTTTATATACCTCAAGTCCATGACATCATAAAGAGGTCTGGACTGGACTGCTCTTTAATCTTTTTTTTGGGGGGGAGGGCTATCATTTGTGTCATGTCATTTCCCCCCATTTATTCAAGATTCATAATCTGTTTTGCCCTGCAACCTGCTGTCACTTTCATATCTTTACTATTCATGTGTTTATTCATGTGTTAACCTGTTTAACATCTCAGGGTCAAGGCCTTATGTCACTATAGCCATCCACTCATATGGCTACATCCTAGACCATATCATCACCTGGAGCTGTACCACCTTTGTAATCTTATTCTCTAATTTACCAGTGCAGCTCTGGTATGGCAGATGTCCAGAGAGGAAGAGACCTGTTCTTTGTCTTTATATTAGATGGGAAAGAGACAGGTCAGGTGGTGAATGTGCTGTCTTCTGGTGTTTGAGATTTGTCTGCCATTTCATGGTTATCTTTACCTAGTAACCCATAAGGGGAAATAGAGAAGTGATCAAGAACTGGATGCATTTCCCTTCCTGAGTACTGCCATACTCATTTTTCCCATGTAGAAACTGAACAGGTGTAATTTCCTTTACACAGAGTTCTGGGAACTTAAAACACCAGAAAGGAGTGGAAATTTTAATTTTAATTCATTTTTCCTCTATCATACACTGATGGGAGTAGAAAGATCTCCCAATTCACACCCTTAGGGGGATGGCCCTTTTAGAGAGATGTTCCCTTTCCTTTGACTTGTACTGAGTCTTCCAAGTTTCCTTCTTAGCCCTTCTTTGAGTGTGCCCCAACACACACACTGAGTGTGATATGCCTGCCACTTTGCCTCAGGAAATTCCACCTAACTTACATGAGAAATGAATCCCAGTTCTCAAACCGTTCTTGTAACTCATCGGTCTGTAGTACCTCAGGCTTCGACCTGATACTAACAAGAATTTCCTCCTCTCAGATTTTAAAGGTTGAGGGGTGAAGGGTGGGTTCTAGCTTGTTCAGTGTTGGGAAGAATATATATATTACAATTCCACTTAAGTTTCTCTTTCAACAAGGTCTGTGATGTTACCTAAAAGCTCTGGTGTTAGAGTGCCTTTGTCCATATCTTGGTTCTATCACTGACCAAGTAGGTTACTTTGATTAAGTTATTTAATCATTTTGGGGGCTTAATTTCCTCACTTGCAAAATGAGGATATTATTACTTTTGTTGTGAGAAGTGAATATGTGAAGAAATACACATAAACCCTTAAGCCGTGTCTGGAATGATATGAGCCCTCAGTAAATGTTAGCTGTCATTATTGTTATTGCTGGGATGATGATGATTGATGATGATGCATCCACTTCTCAGGAAAACAGGCAAATTTTATGACGAAGTGTGTGTTTCTTCTGTTCACAGCAAAGTTGCTGGATAAAAGTCAGCATAAGGCATATGTAAGATGAACCAAGGCAATCAGTTACCTTCCCAATTTCCTAATGCCACTCTTCACTTTCCATCCTTTCTAGGGTCTGCAGCTTGCCACATTATTCCATTTCACATTATACAGCATATTTATTTAATTTATTTTTATACAGCTTTATATATTTATTTATTTATTAAGATTTTATTTATCTGACAGAGACACAGTGAGAGAGGGAACATAAGCTGGGGAGTGGGAGAGGGAAAAGCAGACTCCCTGTTGAGCAGAGAGCCTGATGCAGTGCTCCATCCCAGGACTCTGGGATCATGACCTGAGCCAATGGCAGACGCCTAACAACTGAACCACCCAGGCGCCCCAATATACAGCATATTTAAATGTTTTACTCTTAATACTTCACATGTGCCAGATTTGTGAAAATGAAACTTTATTTGTAGCTAGACTCAATGTGTCTTATGTGGTCTTCATAAGGATACAGTCCAATTCTGACCACAATTTAGTGAAACTATTAGAAAATGAAATTACTAGAAAATGTTTTAAAATGCTGACAGAAAAGTATAAAAATTTGTTTCTAATATAAGCTTTCAAATCTAGGATAAAAGGTGTACATTTTATAATCTGATTTAAAACCAGATAGAATCATAAGAGTTTTTAGAAGTTTAAGGTATATATGGAATTAGATCAAGAAATATATATAAATATACAACGTCAGCCCCTTTGTTTGGCAAATAAAGAAACTGAACTTGGAGGAGGATGTATTAATTTAATGTTACTCACCTCATTCATAAGAAATCCACAACTAAAATCTAGTTGTTTTGATTCATACTAGGTCTCTTCCACTACAGTATATTTTTGAATGAAAAGGTTGCCAATTTTAGACTAAACTTACTGGAATTAGATTATAATTTATCTAAGAAATTTTTTTGTTAACTCTTTTTTTATTATGTACTATTTACTGTAAAAATATGTTAATATATTTTGAAGTATAATAAATACCAGTGAAAATGTTAAGAGATAAAGAATTACCAAAAAACTGTCCAAATGGCCACATTCTGATGTGTATTAAATATACATTCTTGGGATTGGGTAAATTAACAAATGAAATTATTTAATTTTGATTAAAAATGGGTTTTGGCACTTTTGGCATGTTATCCCTGTCAACATTTAATTGTGGAAGTCCTTTGGAACTTTTTTGATACAACTCTAGAGAGTTTAGCCCAGTGACATTTAAGCTGAAAAAAGTCACTGAGTATGCCCACTACTGAGAATTTTTGGTTTTCAACAATTTTTAGACTGCATTTTTTCCCAGCCACATTTATCAATTATTTTTCTCTAATTTTTAAACATTTTAAAATATGGCAAAATACACATAAAATTGGCCATTTATCAATTTTTAAGTGTACAGTTCTGTGGTATGAAGTACATCTCCACTGTTGTGCAACTAATACCAACCTCCATCTCCAGAACTTTTTCATCTTCCAAAACTGAAACACTCTACCCATTAAACAGAGACCCCATTTTCCCCTCTCCTCAACCCCAGGCAACCATCATGCTACTTTCCGTCTGTGAATTTGACTATTATAGGCACCTCATGTGAGTGGAATCATGCAGTGTTCTCCTTTGAAAATATAGAGTGCTTCACAAATTTGCATGTTATTATTGTGCAGGTGTCACACTAATTTTATTTTTTCCAACTTTAGTATGTGCAACTGAAGTTGAGTACTCCAATTTTAATATTATTTAACTGTTCAAAAATGTTGAAATCCTAGTTCTAATAACAATTTAACTGTGTTGGAAATAATATGCATTTACTTTTCTACATGAACCTTGCTCACTTCTTATATTCCTAAGACTTAAAATGAGAAAGTGTTCTAAGCCTCTTTCAGGCCAGAAACATGCATTCTCCTTACTAAATAGATCTAGTTTGAAGCCACGTCCCAGTTAACCCTATCTCTTTCCAGTAAAGTTTAGATCTGCTTAGCTTTCTGGTAATTTTTGTTGGAAAGTTTCAATGTAAGCTTTGGTTAGCTGCTACACTTCTATCAGTTTATATCCTGTGTACTCGGTTTTGAAGATCTTGGGGATTTAGTCTTCTACTCTCAATCAAGTGCAAGAAATGAATGCTTAAGGCTGCATGTAGGCCCCAAGGTAAATTGGTATTGTTGGGAGTAAACTATTTCCTGCCCTGGAAGCAGATATTCTCTCCCATGATAATTTTGTGCAGTCACTTCTATTCTGTATTTCACAGGCCGCTCAAGAAAAAGAAGAACTTCAAAGGGAAGGTGACAGTTTGGACGCTAAGATCAACAAAGCTGAAAAAGAAATCTATGCTTTAGAAAACACCTTGCAAGTGCTGAGAAACTGCAACAACAATTACAAACAATCTTTTAAAAAAGTCACTCCATCCAGTATGTAGGAGTTTTTAAAATTTTTTTATGAATGTGGCAATTAAAGGATAATTATTTTTAAAGAGGAACATTGTGAGACATGGGAAACAAAAATGTACCATGTTTGATTGAGTCAGAAAAATCCCCTCCCCCCTCCCTTTAAAACAAGGGCTAAGTTATTTCCATTATTAGTTTAGCAGTATTGCATATCCCTTCTCTGGGAATTAATTTCAAATGTGAAGAATATGGCGGCCTATTGGCTGCTGTGTGTTGACAAAAGAATGGCTATTACATTACATGCTCACACTGTTTTTCAACAAGGAGGTATGAGGATTTTAACCTATAACAAAGATGTTGTAAGTTTAATATATGTAAGACTTGAAGCTTGCTTTCTACATAACATGTTAAAAATTTAAAGAATTCTCTAATTTTAGGTGATGAGTATGAACAAAAAATCCAACTAGAAGAACAAAAAAGAGCTATTGATGAAAAATACAGATATAAACAAAGACAAATCAGGGAACTACAGGAAGATATCCAGGTAAATTCTATGGGCTTTAGAAATAAGCTCTTAGTAAAAGTTAACTATCATTATGTCCACTGTCTTGTTATCATGTACAAAGAAGATAATTTTTAAAAGTAGATAGTAAAAGTTTCATTTTAATTAAAATGAGAAAAAAAAATAAGTGACCAAACTATTAAATAGTTAAAATCACAAAATCACAGTATTAAGCATAGGATGGACAGCAGATAATGACTAATTAGATGATGAATCATAGCCAGCTAATTATGATATATCTACTAACTTATTTAATGAACTTTTATTTCATTTAATTCCTTAAAGATTATCTTAAAGATTCCCCCTTATAATAAAATTTGAAAGATAAAAATAGTCTAGTAGAAAGTAGTTACTAAACTACATCATTGAAAGAGAAAACAATGTGCTTGGTAAGCAAGCTCTATATAAAAATTAAAATTTTTTTCCCTAATATGTGAAGGAACCAATGGTATGAATTTTGAATCTTTGAAAATTGCATACTTTTAATAGCCATTGTTTGACTTATTTTCCCCAAGTACCGAAAAAGTACTTTCTAGTGGAATTCTATATAAAACTTAATCCAAAGACCACTATACTTATTATCTACCAACATAATGTATTTATATACAAAAGCAAATGAATTAAAATTAAATGAATACTTGAAAAATGGCAAGTTGTATGTTATTGATTCTAACCAATAAGTATGTTAACACTTTATTTTCTCCAGAGCATGGAAAATACTTTAGAAGTTATAGAACATTTAACAAATAGTGTCAAAGAAAAATTATCAGAGAAGCAGGCTTATTCATCTCAACTAAATAGAGAAACTGAGGAACAGAAGCCAAAATTAGAGAGAGTAACTAAACAGGTATTGCTGTCTTTTTAAAAACTAACCTGTCATATTTATATATTTTGGAGTTCCAAATCCTCCTTCATCCATTAAAAAATATTAAGTTCTGGGAAATAGTTTTAAATAATAATTGACTACTATCGACTAACAACAGTGTGCAAAACTCACCAAGGAAATCCGACTTCTGAAAGACACAAAAGATGAAACACTAGAAGAACAAGACATCAGACTTCGTGAAGTAAAACATTTCCACAAGATCATTGATGAAATGCTAGTTGATGTCATGGAAGAAAATGCTGAGATCCGTATTATCCTTCAAACATACTTTCAACAGGTAATAATAGTACTTTCTAGCTAAAATATTTTCTAAACATTTAATGAAATAAATATTGGCACTTATCATAAAGTGAAGTCTAATTAAAAATAATTCTTTCGAAAATGCAGTGGTACTAATGATCGCTATTGAATATTATTCCAGAATGGTTTAGAACTACCTACAGCTGGTCCAAAAGGCAGTCGCCAGAGTTCTAGATCTCCTTCACAGACTTCACTGTTATCAACAAGGTAAGTCTAAGTTTAAAAATCATCTCATTAACTCTGTCCTATGCAAATACCACCACAGCCACTGGATCTGTCAGTGTTCTTCTTACCCTTACCCACCTTTCTGTTAGTATCATGTATGCAGATAACAGCCAGCAGAGCAAGACTCTTTCCTTCTGGTTTCTGTCTGATGTCACACTTTCTGTGAGAACATGGAGTGTTTTGTGACTTCTAGCTATTTCAGTAGGGTACAGCAGGTTAAAATTTTGGAGGTTACATCTTGCATGATTAACCCTGAGTATGGGGAGAATTTTTTTTTTAAGATTTTTTTTATTTATTTGAAAACGGGGGGGGGGGAGCATGAGCAGGGTGAGGGGCAGACAGAGAGGGACAAGCAGACTTCCTGCTGAGTGGGGAGCCCTATGTGGGATGTGGGGCTCAATCTAGGGACTCCAGGATCATGACCCAAGCTGAAGGCAGCTGCTTAACTGACTGAGCCACCCAGGCACCTCTGGAGAGAATTTTTTAAACCATAAAAAGGCAACTTAGATGTACAGACATATGGAGTATGATTTTTATGATTAAAACCACATTATGAAGTTTTTAAGTAGTCAGAATTTTATTTCATTTTTGCTGCTTGGCTAGAAAGGAAATTATTCTTTACTTCTACAGTTTATATTTATTTACCCAGAATTCTATCAGGTAGATTGATGTCTAATCAACTCTTGTGCTTTGCTGACAAAATAAAAATTATTAATTATGATCCTAATTTTAAAATTCCCAACCTCCTATGTTTAAAATTCCCAACCTCCTATGTTTAGTAGCTATTTACTTTTCACTTGTCCACAGAGAGCTTTCAGAATATAAAAGGGATATCCCTAAAAGATAGTATTAAAGTAGAACAAACTCTCTCTATATAAACATGGTAAGCAATCACCTGATCATCACTGTATTTCCATATTTTTAAATCTTAGCATTTCAGAATTGTATAGCTAGTTATGTTTTTCAAATGACCCCATGACTTTATCCTGTCAATAGGCCTCATTTTCTTATCTTTAGCTTAGATTACATAACCTATTATTATAGTCACTCTTGCCAGCACCCAAATTCCCATGGCCTTTTTATGCTTAATGATTTTTACAAAACCTTTTTAATGTTTAATGATTCCACCTCTAAATTGATTATAGCTGAAAATATTTTTTCATAGACATTTGTTGAGCTAGTTTGAAGCTATGTCCATTACTTTTTCTTTTGAACTAATTTTTTGACATTAATGGTTATGCTTTCAAAATTTAGTAGTATTACTAGTATATATTTTTTGATCTAATTCCTTGTGGGATTATGGTATCTTTTGCCATTAGTGAGGGGGTCTTTAGTAATACAGATTTTGCATTAAATTTAAAATAGTGCTGTTTTTCTTTTCCTGTAGGTCATCGAGAAGTACCACAAGTACTGCCTCTCAGACTTCAATTAAAGTATTAGAGCTGAACTTCCCTGCCTCTTCAGTGACTGGCAACATTTCTAGGCCACCAAGTGCAACCAGTAGCTCCAATAATGATAAAAACAAAAAGGGCAGCAAATAAACATTTCAACCTCTTTTGTATAAGTTGTAAACACAAAAGCAAAAATCTTACTTTTAAGATAGTGAATTCCACCCTACACTTTTGGGTGCTGTGTAGTGATGAGGCGCCCACGGAGATCGTGTTAGAAATATGCAATAACTAGATGAAAGTTTACTTAGTGGAAAATGTGAAACAGTTAAAAAAGTCAAGCAATTTAGGTTCATATAAGACAAAGAAATGCTTAATTTCCTTAGCCTTTGCCATACTGTTTTCTTTACAGAAAAGGAAAGCAGTAATCGCAGATTCTTTAACAAGGCTACGTTTTATAAGCAGAGAAAATGATGTTTTTCACTGTTATTTTGATGTTTGTTAGATTAGAAAACACTTTGCTTCAGTTATTTCACGCTAGCCATGAAACAACTTCAGTTCTAATGTGACACAGTGTTTCTGGAAATTTCTGAAGATTTGCTGTCCTGTGAATAGTTTGTAATACTAAAATTCTCATTTACCCTAGAAAATCCTAAAATTAGGTTTGCTTTAGTCAGAGAAACATGTTTCTTGGGCTTTTGGGGGAGAAGTCTTTTTGTTTCTTCTTTTGGTAGGATTCTAAAGTTTTTAACCCAAAAATAGCATTTATTCCCTCCCCCCAAAAAACAATAGGAAAGAGCACTGCATATTAATAAAAATGCAGCTTAAATTTCTAGGAATTACTTAACTCTGATCTTGAAAGAAGTCAAACATATTATTTTGTTAAGATACAGCCAAGCATAAAGAGTAAGAATGTACTTTCAACCTTCCTTCCCCAAGACGTTCTTGTAGTAGACAAAGAACTGGGTGTAATTTGATTTGCAACAGGAATCCCATAAATTTACAGTGGAGGTAGACCACTAGAGTTAGAATGTTACTTCATTTAATATACTATAAAACATGAGCCCAATATTTTCAACTCTTGGAGAGTGTGGAGTATGATTATAAAACTGGCTTTTAAATAAATCCTTAGCTATATATACTTAGAAAATATATACTTAACTATTTCTCCTTCAACCCTCGAAAGAATTTGTCACAATTGTTATTTAGAAGTGTCATTTACAGTTCTTTCTGAAAGGCAGAAGTTGCAATAAACCTGTTTTTCCTGATTATTTAAGTATCTTATTGTTTTTAGAAATAGCCAGCAAATGCTATAGCCAAATCCAACAAGATAAATAATATTTTTGTAAAATATGGTTCTAAATACGTAAGATTTAGAAGATCGAAAAACTGATTAATTTTATGGTCATTTTGTGTGTTTGCTCAAGTTCTTATTCTCTCTGCCCTGTATTACTTTGTAAATTACTTGGAACTTGCAATTCAATATTAAACACTGTGTTTTACGGAGGCAGGGATTGTCTTACTAGCTCTATGACCTTGGCAAAGTTGCTTCTCTATGCTTTTTTCCTTATTTGTCATACTGAGACAGTAAGAATTACCTACACAAGTTTACTGAAATGATCAAATACATACAAAATGTATAGGTCCTGGCATAAGAACTGCGCAGTAACTTCTATTACTGAGTCACCACCCAAAGGCTAGCACAGTATTTGTGAAATGGTTCTTTTGGTTCTGGGCCAGCATACAAATCTATTTAACACTCTTAAACAAACAGTTCCAATCTTGTATGTGTAATAATGCTAAACTTGGTGACACAGGCATCAAACCCATTTTCTCCAAATGTGGAGTTATCTTAACATTCACCTATTATGTTAGAAAATTATTTGTGGGAGTCCAGACACAGTCTGGGTGTGTACAAACTATAGACATAATGATAAGAAAAAAACCGCTAAAGATAATTACTAACAATTCTTGGTAAGTCAGTCCTCCATATTCTTTTGCTGTATGGGTTTCCTGAACACATCCTTAGAAACTGGCTTGTATACTCTGAAGTTTAGTTATGTTTCAGGAAAGAAACTCTGGGGAAGATGGAATTCCTAAATTCGGGCAGGCCTGTATTAGGTACTATTCTAGTTGTCTGGTATATGAATGTAACATTAAGCCACAAAGACACCTTAGAAAACTGTAGTGCTGATTGATAGTGATGCTCAGAGATTTTAGTAAATGTGTACATAAAATACTGAAGATGTACTAGCAATTCCTAAAGGTCAAAGACCATGTTGAGATACTGTTCACTCTTTACAAAAACCACTATCTATATGTAGGACTATGTAGGAATGATACAGGAGCTATTAATACAGAAAGAACCAGGGACTCTTTTAAGATGAGTTTCTTGTACAAAGATGAGTGAGTGACTTTTCTACTGCTATTACCCATAGTTTTTGACCAGTTTCTCTGTTCCACTGTAAAACAAACTTTAGTTTTCCATTAGGCTGCCAATGCTTAAGTCTGAAGTCCACAAACAGGACACAACTGGTCAGCATGACTTAAAGAGGTAGCATTAAAGGCCTCTTGTCAATTATACTAGAATTTGAAATTGGAAAGATTCTAAAGGCCATTATAAATCAACAACCATGACTCCTATCTCTATCTCTAAATCTCTGTTTTCAAATTTGGGAGGATTTTTCATACTCTTTTTCAGCTCTAGTTGCTGGAATTTGAGTAAAACCAGGCTTTTTTGGCCTTGTCATTTTATCCAGACCCTAAAAAAGGAGGTATCAAGGGAAGTGTCAGGAAAGAGGTATTAAGAAAAGAGGAAATGCAAGCCAGCTGTAGGCTAATTATAAACATGCCCAGTGCCTTCCCAACTGGACATATGCAATACTAGGACAGTTTCCCAATTTTCTTTCCCTTAGGGGAAAACCAGATTTATAGTGTTTCTCTTGCCACTGCTGTTTTTGATGAAAGGATTCTTTTTTTATTCTGATCTAATCTTGCCTGGTATACAGTCCCTAAGTCTTGCCAATATTTAAAGTTAAGAAATTTCTTAGGGCTATACTGCTAACAATAAGGTTTAAAAAGAGAGAGAAAAGCAAAATGAGCCCCTATTCAACTTTCATGGCTTTATTCCTAAAGTACTTGTTAAGCTGGCACAAAAATCATTTTTAATTAAATCAAGCTTTAGAGGTCAATTAGGCAAGCAGGTAATCTGTATAGAATCTTGGAAGTTATACAAAAAGTTTGATATTTAAATAAATGATCAATAATAAAATGGTACTTAAGGAACAATCAAATACTGCGTATCTCTTTCAAAAGCTGAGGGAAAAGAAAATTTAACAGAAAAGACAATGAAATAATTTTTGAAGAAAACAATCCAAGTGTTCAATGAACAAATTTAATTTTTTCTCAAGCAGCAGGATAAGGTAGACCCAAGGAATTCTCATACACTATAATACAGAGAGGAAGCAATACTTTGAGAATTATTTTTAGGTGAAGTTTAAATCATTACAGTAAGAAATATTATATGGAAACATACACATGAAAAGCCTAAAAAATCAAGTTGTGAGGAGACCCACAACTGAAACAAATATACTTTGAGAATAGCCAAAAAGCATCTGCTTTCTGCAGTCTCTACAAATAGCTTTAGGAGCAGAGATTCTTCTAGACTAGAAGACCCAAAACTTTCATTAACAGCCTTTGTGTAATGGTGCTGAATCCCCTGGCATATTAATTTTTTGGCTTATTTCCTTTTTCTTTCTCAAATGCAGCTATCTGATTAAATATATTGAGTAAATTTTGAGGTAAATTTTTTTTAATTCCACTTTCTGACTGCTCTTTTCTATTTAGTCTATCTGCTTCTGGAACCTCTGTTTTAATGTCCTCCTCATAACTACCCTCTATTTCATATTCTCCTTGATTTTTATTTAATGGATATCTTTGCTCATGTCTACTGAAATCACGTGATCCAGAATAAGAGTATTTTTTATATTTTTCAACTGACTTACAAGAGTAGTCTGAGCTTGCTGGTGAAGTGGAATGCCTCACGGAACCTGGCTCCCACCTTCTATAGTGCTCTTTTCTTCCCTCTGTATCTTTTTCAAATCTTCTATAACCATGAGTTTTCACTTTGTCCTCTGAATTCCTGTAAAAGGAATCTGAATAATCTCTTTTACTGGAAAAATGTTTTTCTGATTTATATGGTTTTTCAGTTTTGCTACTACTTGCCTGAGTATAAAAATCTCTTGGATCTTCAGACCTACCTCCAAAATCATCCGGTATTTCAACTGAAGATGAAGAGAGAGGGCATCTATCTTTCTCTTTTACCTGTTTCTTTTGATATGGTAACCTGTCCTGCTTTTCCAGTAGTTTTTCCACTTCTTGTTTTTGGTTAAGAAAAGATGCTAAAGTATTGGCTGGAACTGGGAAGCACTCATCTTTCCTACTCTGATCTATCTGACTTGAGGAGGCCTTAGCTAAATGCCTTTTGGAACTTCGAGAAGACTCTGAACGGTTCCTCTTATGCTTCTTATGCCTTTTGTGACCAGAAGAGGAAGAGGATGATGATGAAGAATCCGATTCATCAGCAGAAGATACACTTGAAGAGGAAGAAGTTGATTTTCTTCTTTTCTTCTTTAGCCTAAAAAATATAGTTAACCCATCAAATATGTTAAGTACAAAAATGTTCCTCGATTATACATAAAGATTCTAGTTCTACTTTGTTCTCTTTAAAGGTTTCATAAAAGCTGAGGGTTTAGATAAGCGATTACTGTAAATCTCAGTTACTACAATATCCAATTTTACTATCAGGCATGACTTTTGGGAAAAAATACTGTGTAGACATAGACAACTGTCATTGAAAGTAGATCATTATTTCTGAAGACACAGTCACATTTCCAACATTTTCAAAAAAATTTAAGTCCATCTGAATGTATGAAGGAGAGAAACGAAGTTTTATTATCTGCTACCTCTAATAAATAGTTTCTCCACCTCAGCACTATTGACATTTTCACCTGAATAATTCTTTGTTAGGAAGGCAGGGTGATGGTGGAGGCAGGGGTATCACTGTAGGATGTTTAGCAGCATCCCTGACCTCTACCCACTAGACGTTAGTACTACTTCACCAGTTATGATGACCAAAAATGTCCCCGGGGGGAACAAAGGCACCCCCAGTTGAGAACCACTGCTCTAGTTCTGAAACACTTCTCCCTAAAATACAGATAATTAAAATAATCTATTATATATTTTAAAATTTCTTTTTCTTTTTTTTGGCAGAATTTTACCTTTAGATTCCACTTTGCTTGCTTTCTTTTACAGAAAAATTTGTGGTACACATACTTACGATGTATCACTGGTTATAAGTCAATACCTTTTTTTTTTTTTTTTTTTTTTTACTTACTTTAACCTCCATATGGCACTTTGGTTCAACTCAGTAGCTGCTTTAAGTTAAAAAAACACTAAATATTATAGTTTACCTTTTCTCCTCTTTTAAGAGCTTACGCAACTTTTCTGCACTTGTTTCTATTTTCTTTGTTTTCTGCTTTTCTTCCTTTTCAGCTTGTTTTTCTCTTAATTCCAAAGATTTCTTTTAGAACCCAGATATCGGAAAAAACCACACGTTAAAAATAGCAGAATATATAAAACCCAGTTTCCAAAAGACCCCCCCCAACCAGAAACCAAATGGGGTACACCCAAATCACCATATATCCAGCATTAAGTATTTTTAACATGTAAAAATTAATCATACAAGTGTTTGGCATTAATCATTGGAATAGCCAGAACAGCATTGAGGACCATATTGCAGTTGGTATTCCATGAAAAAAGGGGAAGCCATTGCATTGATACCCATGACCCAGAGTGCAAGAAAGGGAAAAAATAAAATAAATAATAAAATACATGAAAAATTTTTTTAAAAATTGAAAAATTTAGACAGGATGCAAATTTATAAAATAAAATTCAAATAAATTCCATTAAGGTGAATTGAGGGAGGAACCACCATGTTCAAATACAAACCATTTAAAAAATAGCACAGTCCAGTTGGACGCATGATTACGTAAGAAATCATTTTCCAGTTTGAGGATGGGGATGAGCAGCACCAGATGTCACAGACACAGCAGCAATGGTCCAATTCAGAAGAAAATGCATGAGAAAACATCATCATCAGTATTACAGGAAAAGGCAGTTTAAAATACTTCT